CAACAAGTATATCAGGTTTTAGCAACTCTGCCATTGTGACACACCAAATAAGAGTTTCAGAGTCAGAGGGCAGAACTGGCTCTAAAGTCGATACTGTATCTATGGAGCTAAACAGTCACTAATATAATTTGTAGTAACTGAGGATCACAGTAGCTACTCAATACATATAAATACAAAACAAGAAAGGCCAACATTTATATTTGCACCTAAGTTCATACAGGTATCTCTCAGGCCTTCTCCCTCCAAAGGTTGGTTCTTAGTACAGAAAGACTGTCTCAAATTGCTTGGAATACGACATCAAAAACTTTACAGAGTTAAGTCAGCACAGCTTTTCTGAAAACTACTTTTTGTATAACATCTCGAATGAATAATGAACTCCCAGACTAAAACTCACTTTAATCAGATTACAAATCCATTTTCAACATGCTAAACAGCCACTCACCTGGTCACCTATGATGATTACAAATTTCTAACAGCAAGATGAGCAGGAAGGAAAGCTCTATCAAAACAGTCCTTTATCATTAAAGAAAAAAAGTCTAACAGGTTTGTGAAGACAGGTGGACTAATAGAAGCTTGTGAATTGATTTGCAGAACTAAGATTCCTTCATCTGAATAATAAGCCAAGCATCAGAAATAGCTTTTTGCCATGCATTCCTATTCTAACATACCAAGTGCTGAATATACCATATGTAATTATAGATACCATACAGCTCAGTTTCTTGCCTACAAAAGCAACAAGGAAAAAATACTCAAAAGGATATGTACTCAATTCACCAAGATAATTACAGCTCAATCCTTTCCTACTGATCATTATCCAATATGATAGCCAAGGGCTTTAGGATCTTCTCCAGCACTACATATATCACTCAATGACCTTAATTTGTACTGATTTAATTAAAATGTTCTTACATCATGTGAAGATTTAAAATATAGAAAATGCCACTGCAAGTCATGAGCTGTGTGAACAGCCATGTTATTTATAATCAAACTATTTTACATTTCCTACATTAAAGCAATCCAACTAAAAAAATGATTGGAAATACTATACCTCCACTGAAAATACTATTACGCAGGAGATGAGCAATGAACCAGAAAGTTCCTGGTTTGGTAATTTTATCTCTACCATGAACTCACTCAATGGCTTTATGCAAGCTACATACTCTCAGCAATATGGAGATAACTACCTACCTTTTAGGACTATTGTGAAGATTACATACATATAGGTAAAGTGCTTAGTACATTTAAAAGCACTATATATTACTGATTATTACTATTATATATCAATGTACCACTTCTAGAGACCAGAATTGTCTGAAAGGCAGAATAAAAATACTTCTCAGAATTACCCTTTCATATAGGAAAGAAATACCTTTCACACAATTATCTGTGCCCATCTCTGCGTGGTACTGCATGTTAACACATACATGCTACTGCAACATATAACTTTAAGTAATCAATATCAAAAGATAATGTGCATTCTTCATAAGATCAAGTAGGCATGCTTCATCAAAGGTCAAGTTATTAACTAGAATAGACAAGTGAAATGTACAGAAACAGTATACACTGAAGTAACAGATGCTAGAACAAACAAGTAACCATCCCTTTCTTGTGTTTGTGAGCGTTCACAGGCATCTGATGGGCTTCCATTAAAAGTAATACTGAAAATGGACCTTGGTCTAAACCCACAAGGCAGGTATGTTCCTTACCCATTAACACCTTCACTCTTGGCTGGCCTTCACACAGATAGCAAGGGGCCACCATAGAGATAATATCTAAAGCCCACACAAATGTTACTGAAAAAACAGGACAGGTTATCCTGTTTTGACACCAAAATGCCAAAATGTTCTTCATGTGCATGCAAGAGCAAATTAAAAGATAATTAGAATATAAAGACTGCAAAGTGAAGCTAGAGGGTTCAATTACACTTTCAGAGAGCTCAAAAAACAAATGGCTTTTTGCAGCTCTGGTCAGGTTTCCACAAACTAACATTAGGGTACAGTAGTTGATACTGATTTCTATAAATACTGGATTCTGTTCTCAAGAATTTTAGCAAAGTTAAACCAGGGCCCTGTTCACCAGAATTCTGAAATGTAGACACTTCTTTCTTGGCAGTTTTAGACAAGCTGCCTCTCTGCCTCTGGTTATACTCTTACATAGCCACAGTCAAGGTGAAACTATACCATAATTGTTTACACAATGGTTTCCTTCACTAGAATTTAGAGATGCAAGTATTAACATTGCACAGCAAGAGTTCTGAAGTAGCAAGTAAAGTTACAACCAGAGGTGAGTCTGTGGCTCTCCAAATGCTGGACTGCAATCCTCACCAGTGCCACCCAGAATGGCCATCACTCATTTAGTGGGCGATTTAGCGCAAAAATACGAGGTCTACGTGCTTCCCCAACCATGTCTTATAGCTTTGATTATGGAAAAGTGAAATAAGCCTACATCCATTCGCTATACCCGGAACAGTTATAGCCCCATACAAACCTGAACAAGGTTTTGAAGCAAATAAGCAAAAGCTGCTCTTTTATGGTCACAGGATACCTTGTGTTGCAAGAAAATTTCAGGGAACTGCTGATATTTGAAGAGAAACAGAGTTTAACAAAAGAAGTCCAGTACTAACCTGGAATCACAGCCAATCCATACTTGGCCTGGTCTGCTGTCCGAGTCACTTTTCTGGCACCTTTTGCCTTACACTAGTCAGCCAAGGGTAACACTTTATGAATTCTCAGTCACTCTAATCCACTTATGTCAGACTATTTTAGGGCCTGCAACAAAAACATATGGGTTACTATTGGGCTTCAAGCATGTTGTACCCAAAGAACCAAAAGGTATTTTCTAGAAATGTTTCATAGTGGAGGCACTGGACAGTAGTCGTTCTAGTCTTTCATGGCAAGATTATTTCTTTTAGGTGCCAAGATGCCTTAGAATACAAGAAAGCAGATGTACAATTCACTAGCAGGTAGCCCATCCTGATCACTCTAACATGATTACCTGGCTTACAGAATCAAATACAGAGATGAACTGGCCCAGATTCTTCTGTCTCCACACAGACAAGATAGAACTAAGAAACTTGGCATATTGGTTTATCATTCACTACACCTGCAAACTCTTTCTATATACCAAAGGCTTAAAGCTGCAGAAAGATTTTCAAGAATCATATATTTATTCAGTATTTATACAGTGTGACACTTTAAAAAAAGATTCACTTTTACTCAACATTATGTACTATCCTCCAAAGTCCTGATTTCTTTTTAAATAAAAATGTTTTATCCTTGAAGACATGAGTTCAGAAAATATCTACTACATCTACAAAATCACCAAGTAATTTGCCATCAAACCAATTGTGTTTTTTCAATCTTTCTTATTACTGTATCATGCAAGAACTGTAACATAAGGATCCAACTTTGCCAGTCCCATTACTCATAACGGAAGAGTACTAATGAATGAAACACTACAGGGGTTTACTAATAAGTCCTACAGAGGACAATGTTCCATCAACTATATAGCATAGAAAAAGATAGGAAAAATAGACCATTGTTAACAGCTCATAACCCACAGCCAGAATGAATATCATAAAACTTCAGTTTTGTACATGCATTCCAGCTTAGGGTAAAGATGCAATCTGTTCCTTTCTTATTGTTCCTTGAGCAATAGGTTTACTTCACTTACTTCAGCACCTGACAAAAAGACACCTATTAAAACTTCAACTATCCTTTGCAAGATTACTAGGTCTTTGGTAGAGAACCACAATAATTTATATACAAAATATAATGGAAGACAAAACAAGTTTGTGATTAATCTTGCATCATTTGTACAAACACGTTATTCAAGCAGTTTCCCCTATCTATGTGTAGCTCCTATTTAGAGCTTCAAAAGCCTCAATTCAGGACTGTAAGAAGTGAAGAATTATCAATTACATATAAAAAAGTCCAAACCTGAGGCATAGAAGTCTTTTAAGTCTTCTTACGAGCAGCCTAGACAAAGAGGTTTACAATTACTGGGCTGGACCTAAGACAGCAGGAGAGGAAATCCCCGCAGTACAGAAGACCATTCTTCTCATTAAAAAAAGCTTACAAAAACATGTGAGACTAAAGCTAGCAGCTCACTTATTCGAATAAAAGCCAAATAGCCACAGTCAAGAAGATGCATATAGTCCTAATCTTTGGCATATGGGATACAGAAAAGGAAAGAAAAAATGAAGAGCTAATTTTCTATTAGAAAAACATGAAATCAGGCTCAGAGGAAACCAAGTAGGTGCCAAGTTAAAGAATGAAATCTGCACACATTAATGTAGGACTAATTCCCAAGAACTCAGCAGGACACAGATCAGACTAGCCTATTAGCGTTTTTCCGAGAGAGATGAAGCTCCTTATCCGATAAAATATCTTCTAGCATGAGATGAGCCTACAGTGGCGACATCGGGGGAGGGGGGGGGCGATGCCCTATTTGAAAAGGCAACAAGTAGAAGGGGAACAATTACGAGAAAGATTATTGTGCTCACCGGGACTCACATGCCTGCTTTTGCGGGGGTGGAGTGATACTTGAGATGTGCTTCTTAATAAGAAGAGAGGTTAAGCCCCTTTCCATTTTGGAATCAGGTCCCATTTGAGGGAAAGAAAGGGTGAAGCCACCTCTTCCCATCCCGCTCTAGCCAGGACTTCGACCATTTAGCTACGGGGAAAAACCAGGCCCCATTGTCCCGCCTCAGCACCACCCCTCTCCCCATAGCATTGAAATTCCCTCCACCCTTCGGTTCTCACCCCGACTCGTCTCCCTCAAAGGTATCCTTTTCTCCTTAAACCCCACAGGACAAGTACCTGCTCCAGTAAAGAAACGAAGAAGGAATCAGTACCGTACCCCGTTGCCTCCCGCCGCCGCCATCTTAACAGCAGCCCCGGAGCCTCAGCCCTAGCCAAATCCCGCGATAACTCACCACCGGGTAAGGGATGAAGAAGAGACGCGATATTTGAAGGAAAAAAAGACAACATCGACGAGAATTGAAGCAGGAGGAGGGCGAAACAAATGATGGCAGTAAGTGCAATCTCGCGATATATTGACTGAAAAACCAGTTCCCGCGAGACGTGAAACACGACCCGGAAAAGGGAAATCACGCGAGAGTTTGGTGATGTTCGCATATCAAGGGACTTTTTTCCCTCAAGATAAGACAGCGGGTAATAGGGAAGAATTGTAGCAATTCTGTAGTCTGGCTCCCTGATCTCAGTAAAGTATCGAGTTGGTACGAGGATTTACTACGATAGTTACTGTGAGAAGCGAGACGAATCTTCACGCGAGAAAAAAGGAAGAAACGCGAGGGTTCAATTCATTTTGTTTTTCCGGCCAATTAAGCCCCCATTTATTTTTCATTTGACAAGACTCCTAAGATTTGGAGGGTTAAATCTTGGTAGTGTATTGCACGGAACGCTAAACCCATGGAAAGGAACACCATATGTTCGATCGCATTTCATACGGGAAAGCGTGTAAAAGTTCGAGAGTAGACACTAAGATAATTAAGCCGCGATATTTCGTAGACCTAGCCTCGAAACTACGAGATTTGACTCCGTGTAAAAAATTGGTGTTAGTCAAGCGGCGAGATCTCGCGGGAGCTCAGAGCGACGTCATGCGGAAAGACCTGAGTAACATTCTGTGAGAAGAAGAGTAGCGCGTGCACTTCTGGTTGCGAAATATCGCGCGAGTTTTGCTGGGCAAGGGGGAGGTGACTTAGACGCGTTGGATTGTTCAGCAATTCTGAGAAGGCGGGGACAGTCTCTGGATTGTCGACCAACGACATCTCGCGGGATCTTGGATAAACTCTCGCGAAGGCTTATCACGCGCTAGACGCGTGGGAGGGCTGTCGTGTGGTCGTTCTAGTTGTGGAGGCAGCTCGAGCTTTTCCTTGTGGGCCCCACGCTGTTATTTTGAAAATGCATACATTAAAGTGTTTGGTATTGATGTGAACGCTCTGTAAATGTACCTGCCACAAAAGCTTGTCTGGTTTTCGCCCCTTTGCCATTTTACTGATTTTTTTTTCTACTTTCTATATGGATTACTTTTGGAATCTCTGAGGAGATGTATTCCCCTCAAGCTCTACCGTGGTGCTGATTACCGGTATATTGTCTGCCCTGCCTCAGTGGTGTGTAAACAGGCCTGCTGGGCTACAGACTGTTTTTTAATTGTGTTCAATGTATGCAGTTCTTTTTATAGAATTTTATTAGTGATTGTTTATAGGAAAAGTTAAAGATAGAAGATAACAAGGAAGAACAAATAGATTGAATCCATAAAAGACAGCCTTAAATTTACAAGAGTTGAGCAGGGCTGTTGTGGACAGGACATTTTGGAGGGCTTTCATTGATAGGGTGACCATGGATTGGAAGCGCTTTACAGTGCATAATAAACTAGTGATGGGAAGTCATCTAGAGTGCTCCTTTAGCTAGAAAGGTGGGTGCAAGACTGAAGTGAAAACACTGCCTCAGGCAGATTGCTGATACCATTAGACAAAATATTAGTATGATTGTATTTTTATTGCCAAAGAAAGGAAGTATTTCTGGGACTTTGCAGTCGAAGTGCCAAAATAACTTGACTAGCCGTGGATACTTCCGGGGGTGGGGGGTGTTATTGGGCTGCTTCAGGCAGTAGACTGTCTTGACCTTTAAAAGATAACACATTGTCTTTATTTTAAATAGAATATAGAATGTTTCAGGGGAGTGCCTGTCTTTACTGGTGAAATAAAGTTGTTTCCTGTTCCTGGAGGAAGGGAGAGGCTGTACTTGATCATATCTTGACCAAGCACTACAAAAACTTGTTTAACGAAATTACATACCATGTGCAACAACCTCATGGCTATTCTTAAACTATTGTCTGTCTCTAGTGTTTGATTAAATGTTGATGAATCACAAGCTCCTTTGGGTAGTTCTCCCCACACCAAAGAAACAGCTGACATAACTATTGAATTAGCCTTTCAGTGCCTAATTAAATCTACCAAAGTGTTAGGGTTAAGCTATGAGAAATGTTAAATGTGTATTTGCATCCAGTGTGCAGGATGTAAAAGCAAATAGTATCAGCTGATGAGAGGAAAGCCGAACAAGCATAGAAAAGGACTTCCATCTGTCTCTCCTATATCTGTTTTGAGGACAATTCCCTCCTCTCAAGGAAGTATTTGTATTTGGAGGAGAGTCCCCCCTCTTCTGCATTGTATCAATGGGATTCCCAACACCAAAGCAAATCGATCTTTATTAAAGGGTTTTAATTTCAGAACTGCACGAGAAGTTGACAGACTGAATTCCTTCTGCATTCCTGCTTTGATCCTCCTATTCTCCTCCAATGTATTTGCATTTTGTTGAGGCATGTTGCCATCATGTTTAGATTGGCCTTATGTTACATAGAGTGCAAATCACAAGCTGAATGCAGTAGGGGGAACTGGGTAGGGAATGTCTTTGCATGACTGCTTATTGCTAAATGGATACGGTCTGGAATAAAATTTGTATAGGCGATGAATCTCTTATTCCTTTATTAACCCCACACAGCCATTGTGCTGGATCCAGACTTAAAGTAGACATATTAAAATCATTGAGCTTAAGGTAATCATGACCAATTTCAGTCTCACTGATTTCAATGGGTCCATTAAAAATATGAATAAGGCTGCAATCCTTGACATATGTAGACAGAAATGTCCAACCATGGTGGGAGTTGTAGTTTTTTTCAGTCTACACATGCATAAGTCCTAGTGAACTCCCTGTCTGTATGATCAAGCTGCAAATCTAAGCACAGTTTAAGCTAACTGCTCAGCCTTCCAGAACTTGGTTGGGCAACTAGATTTGCTATAAATCTATATAAATCCCACTCAGGGAGATGGCTGTGATTATGCTGGGTGCGGGGGGGGGGGGGGGAGATGGCTGAGATTGCGCCCGTCTTTCCTGCATGTTCGTGAGCCAAGGTACCACTGTACCAGTCAAAGCCTGCTGCTGCTTGGCTCATGGGAGCTGCCTTTGCAAGGGGAGCCACTGTATGGTTCTTCAGCTTCCTCCAGTAGGGGGCGCCAGCCACCATCAGAAGTAAGCCCCACTGAGTTCAATGCAACCTATTCCCAAGTACAAGTGCTTAGCATCACAGCTGTTCTCTGTCAACGTTTAAGTGCACAGGTCAGACTGCCTGTATGTGCTTCTTTTCAAACAGACCTCAGCTAGCAATTTCATAATCTATAGAGGTATAGACCACTGTGTCATTATATTGAGGGCACATACTGCTACATTATGAGATCTCCATGCAAGTGAGGGGTGGGGCGGACAAGGTATGAGTAGGAAACACTTCTTGAAAGTCTTCTCTGACCAGAAACAAAAAGGGGATGCACCCTTTACTAAATATTACCTTCTCCAGCCTGGTGCCTTCAAGATGTTCTTGGGTGCTATATGCCCCTGCCAGCAAGGTTGGAAGTTGTAGTTCAACAAATGGAGGCCACCAAGATGGGAAAGGATATTATAGCACATTTGAATGCCTTCCCTTTCCCCATCCCCCATTTTTTCCACTCTGATAAATTATCCTATCACCCAAATGTTAATCAGCTGGGATCATAGCGGCTGCCTAGGACTATTCTAGCCATTACTCTGCTTAAGATGAGCCTGTGGTGTTCTCTGGTTTTTCTTTTAATTCTTTCTTTCTCTGTCACTGTCTGCTCTTTTGTTTCTCAAGATCCTGAACTTTTCTCCCAAGGAAGAGCCCTGCTGCAGCAGGCCCATGAACTGGCGCGACACCCCCGCTATGGTGCTTGTTGGACAGGGGCCTTGGGGCAATTGGATGCTAAGTGCAGGGAGTTGAATGAGGAGCAGCAAAGCCGTATTGCTCTTGCACTTGCCCATTGCCACTTGCAACGGTGAGTCATGTCTCCAAGATGCCAGGAGATAGGCTGAAGAAGGCAGAGAGAAGGGGCAGAAAGGAGCCCTCAATCTAGTCAGAAGTGTTGATACTTCTTTTTTCTGGCAAGGTTTGTCTGTAACAATGTGTATTCTTTCTTTTCTTCTAAGGAGCCCTATGTGATCCTTCTTTGCTCCAATTTACCTTCTTGTCATCACAAAAATTGATGGTTTGCCCACCAGGGCAACCCTAATTGCTAGCTGAAGTTGGCTTTACATTTGGACAATTCTAGGCAGAAGGGACTTTTTTAATTCCACATTTTTAGCACGATTTAATCTACTCAGAAGAAAGGGGTGGGGAAAAGGATTAAAGTTCACAGGGTCTGACTGTAATAGGGAATGGGACACAACAGCAAGAAGTGGGGCAGTCAGAGAGTCCAGAGAGGAAAGACCCCAGTGTACAACATAAAGCTCAATAGTAACTATACATTGAGAGTGTGGCCAGGACCCACCAACACAGTGGCCAAGGAGCAACTCAGAGATCCCAAAAGGGAACATTAGACTAGCAAGGGGAGAGATAATTTTTACCTGTGTGCTATTGCGTCAGGTGCTGCTACACTATCTAATACTTCCCCAAATGAGGGGGATGATGGAGGAAGGGGAGTGATGACATCACTTAGCCTAAACATTCATGGGAAGAACTTAATTTAGAATGCTCAAGTATTTCAAGCCTGGCCTTGCTGTTTCTTCAAGCTGTTCACAAAAGACTGCACACCGCTACCCCTTGTTTCTTTTTGTCTCCTGGGCAGATCTGGAAAGAGGTTCCCTCCCTGTGAGCCAACTAGTTCCATTTCTGATTGCACGCAGCCCATGGATCCCCTGGCCTTTGGTGTGTACACCGAGTTTTTCACCCATGCTCATAGTATTTGTCATTTTCTGCACAATGAGGCCTGGCAGCAACAAGCCCATGATACCATTTACAGGTGAGGACAACAGACCCTTTCCTTCTCTACTGCGGGTGTGGGGGACTTTTTTCTGTTGAGAGCAACCCTTACACAGAGGTAATCTGTTAGGGCTTGCAGGCTGGCAGTGAGTGGAACCAAAGCCAAAAATGGGAAGGATCAACTCTTTCTTCTTTCTCTTTCTGCCACTCTCATGCCTCTTTCCCTCTCTCCAGCTGCCTTCCCCTTCTCTCTCCCTCTTTCTTCCTGCCAAGCAGACTCCTGGGAAGAGATGGGTTGTTTTTGCCAGAAGTCTGGACTGATTACTTACAGAGCAATTTTGAAATCAAGTGCAGGCTGGAGGTTGCAATTTGTCTGCTCCCACTTTGAAGAACAAGTCCCAGGACAATTTGCTTTCTGACATGAAGACCAGATCCGCTCCAGTTTCCTCCATGGTACTCTTCATAAGAGACAGAAGGTTCAGCTTCTCCATGGCCCTTGGTATTCTGGCTGGTGGCACAGCCAGCAGTATTTTCCTTCAGTGCCAGGACAAGTTGACCATTGAAGCAGAGGAGAAGGCTGTCAGTGGCTACTAGTCTTGATGGCAAAATGAAATCTCTGGTATTGGAGGGTATGTCCATGTACAGAAGTTGCTGGGGAACATGGACAAGAGGATCCTGTCGCACTCATGTCCTGCTGGTGGGTCTCCCATGGACAGCTGGTTGGCTACTGCATGGAGAGAATGCTGTCCTAGATGAGTCCTTGTTCTGATCCAGCAGGGCTCCTTCAGAGTTCCTCAGGGGAGACAAGCAGAAGGAAGGGAACTGCCCTTTCCCTGGCCAGTGGATGGGGCCAGCTTGTCTTTCCCTTGCCATGGTAATTCTTCCTTTCAGTGGCCCTTGCTCTTCTAGGCAGCAACAGAGACCAGGAGTTCTTCCCTTCCCTTCTGCAGCCACAGGACAGCTACTTCTCCAAATAGTGGTTTAGCAGCATTCTGGTATGTTCAATGCAGCATTTAGTAATTTCTTGAACTGTGGGCAGGTGGAATCTTGTTTGTGTTACTTTGGAGCTAGGAGAACTGCTGCACTGCCAATTTCAGGGTTTGGCTGCCTTTTGGACAAGATGGTCTCAGTAGATCCTCCCTGGCCTAGGCCCCCTCTGCATTGGCTCCCAGAAGGAAAGGCACATGCCTCCTGCTTGCTGCACTCCCAGACCACCCAGACCAAGGAGAAGGAAAAGCAAAGCTGGGAAACTTTTATTAATGCTTTTATTAATTCAGTTGAGCTGCTTTTGGACTGTTCCTTCACTCAGTGCTCCTACTGGGGCTTTGACCTGGGCAGATTGCCTGTGATGCTGATGGAGTTGTCAGCCAGGAGAGGAAGTGGCCTCCTTTCACCATGGTCTCTGGCATTGCTTATTTGGGCTTGTTGCTGATTCTCCATGTGCGCTTCTGGATTAAGTTCTCTGACTAAGCAGAATGAAAGGGACAAAGCTATTCCAGGTGCTGGTGGATGCTAGGCTTAGGGGAATCTACTTTGTTTTTGACTAGAACCCACCAGATCCTGGCCCAAAAGGCACAGACTCTGAATCACAGGATTCTGAACCTGGGAATTGGTTAATTTGTTTTAAGTACCAGAAATTAATCTTGTTCACAATCTCCCACCAGCACAAAAAAATCCGCTCCTAATTACCCTAAGCTTTCTTCATTTCAGCAGTACAGTTTGATGGGATGGGTGGATGGGGTGTCACTTTGTCATTGCTATTTTTAAACCACGGGAGCCAGAAATCCTCGCTGAACTCTCACAAATTATGCTCAATCTACTTCTTGCCTACCCCAGACTAAACTTTTGATTTCCATCTGAACAGTTGGAATCACAGCACCCAAAGTGGGACATTTGTTCAGCAGGAAGGAGAGGGGGTGAGCTGCCCACAAGTGCCACTCTAATTCCAGCATTTCCCAGAGCAAGGTAGCTTTGGTGTGACAGGATAGTCTAATTTGGGAAGCGTGGCCCATCAGATCTGCTTAACATCAGCATTTGTCTAGCTGACCCTGAGTGGAAATCTAGAACAAGCAGCTCTGTGCAGGGAGGGGAAGAGCCAAGCTGCAAGGCTGCTGTTTCACCAGGGGAATAGGAAGAACTCAGCACCCTGACAGGGGCATGGTGGAGGCTACCTTGGAAAGTTTGTGGCTCCCTGAGGCAGGATGGTGACCTCCTAGAGCTGTGCAACTCAAGTCCCCTTGCCTTGTCCGGAAGCAGGATGGTGTTTCCAGACTTCTGTGGGAGTCATGGAGCTATGCCCATGGGGCAGGGACAGGCACATAGGAGGCTGCCTTGTGCTGACTCATAGCCTTGGTTTTTCAAGGCCAGGATTGTTGAGCCTGACTGGCAGCCTTGGCTTTCCCAGGTCTCAGACAGAAATTTTTCCAGCTCTGCCTGGAGGTGCCAGTCAGTGAACCCAGGACCTTTTGTTTGGGAACTTTGTGCACTGCCACAAAGCCACATGCCCTTTCTTGACAGGCTGTATAGCTGGCTGGCTGCACAAAGGACAGAATATATTTTATTTATTTATTATCTTTATATCCCATCATTTTTCCTCCCAAGGAGTTCAAGGCAGCTTACATAATTCTCCTTCTCTCTGCCTTATCCTCACATCAGCAGCCCTGTGGAGTAGGTTGGGCTGAGAGTCTGTGGCTGGTCCAGGAGCAGCCAGTGAGCTCCATGGCAGCGTGGAGGCTAGAACCAAGATCTTGAGTCCCAGGTTCATGCTCTTAACCACTGCACCACCAAGATGTTTTACAATGTGTAATTCAGGAGTCACTGTGAGATGCTCTGAACCCAAATGTTGAGGATTAGAAGGTGCCCTGCCCAGTTGAGTTTGAGTCACTTGAGCTTTTTCCTTTTAGCTGTTAACGCTGTCATTCTATGCATATTTAATCAGGAGTGAGGTGCACTGAGTTTAATAGACCTCACTCCCAAGGATATCTGCCTAGAATTGTAGCCTAAGTCTTTCAAGGGATGGAAATGCTTCACCCAAAGTAGCTGCCTCTCCCACTCACTAATCCTGCTAGGCCGGGCCCTGCCACATCTGTTTTCATACATTTTCGTTTTCCATCCACAAAAAAGTTCATTCTCAAACAAAAATAAACATGGGAAAAATCACCAGTGAGGAATTTGTACCAACCAGGCCTTTTGGCATGATATAATAATTAATTCTAATAATGGGATTGAGGTTTTATGGTTGAGAATTTTTATTATGTAACTCCAGTTGCTCCTGGCAATAACAGAGCTCTGTTTAGAACTACTGATTTGCAAACAGGGTACGGATTAGCCCATGCTCTTCAGCTTCCAAGCCTGGCTGTCAAATAATCACACTTCAGAAGAGAACTCTGAAGCAGGTGATCCTCATCTGGAAAATTATTGTTAACACTTGTGTTGTATTTATTGTATTTTTATGGCTTTCTCCTGCCTTGTGAATCCTGAAAAGTGGAAAGGAGAGGTGCAAATACTTTACATAAATTGAGCAAAAGGCATTTTAGTAACTGGCTGTCAGGACCCCAGCCATCACTGGTACTTTGGGGTTGCATTTGCCATCCACTCTGCCAAATCTCTGGCTATGAGTAAAGTTGTTAGAAGCCCTATAGCAATGATGCTTTGCGCATTCTCTGATCTGCACTGTCTTGAGAACAAGTGTGGTAGATGCCAGTTTCAGAGATCATTAGGAGTTTCGCTGCCCCCCTTAATCAATAGAAAGTAGCAAGGATTTGAGAAGGAAAATGAAACTGCTGGAGGGAAGCTACTATTGGTGTGGCAGTGGCAAAGATGTACAGTGGTACCTTGGCTCACAAACATAATCCGTTCCACAACTCTGGTTGTGACCCAAATTGGTTGTGACCCAAATCAAAATTCCCCATAAGATTCAAGGTAAATAAGGTTAATCTGTTCTGTAACTATTTTTTTTATCAGAAATTTTGAAACAAAGTAACAAAGAACAACAAAGTAACAAAGAACTATACAGTACAGAACACTAACTTAGGTGCGGGGAAGATTATTGTTTTGAGGGAGAGTCCCCCTCCATAAGGACACTGGGGAGATCTCTTTCAGGGGTTTCCTCTCTTTGTCTTTTAGCTGCAGGGTCAACCTTGGTGAAAAATTTGTCTATAGTCACTTGTTTCTTCCTGCGCTGCATAACCCTCCGGAAATGAGAGACCACGTTATTGTTCATCAGATTCAACACTCTGTTCGTTACAGTTATGTTGGGGTGGTGCGTCTCAATGAAATCCTGGCATGGGCATGCTCCTGCAGGAAAGACAGGTGCAATCTCGGCCATCTCCACCCCCTGCAACCAGCACAATCGCGGCCATCTCCCCCCCCACAACCAGCACAGTCGCGGCCATCTTCCTGAGTTGCGTTTGTGCAGGTAAGATGTGCGCACTCCTGCAGGAAAGAAGGGCACAGCACAGCACAGCCGCAATCATGCATGTGTTCCCTGCACGAACACAACTGCGATTGTGGCCATCTCCCCACTCAGCGGGGTGGGGAGATGGCTGCAATCGTGCTGGTTGTGGGGGAGGGAGATGCCCGAAATTGCACCTGTCTTTCCTGCGGGAACGCTCCCATGATCACGCACATCTTCCCTGCACGAACGCAATCGGGGGATTTTCTGGTTGACAAGGCTGGTGATCCTGTCGATACCCTGGTTGAACTGTGGAATAAGGAGATGACCAGGGCTATTGACACAATTGCTCCCAAGTGTCCTCTCCCACCTGGCAGAGCCTGTTCATCTCCTTGGTATACACCTGAATTACGGGCAATGAAGCAGGTTGGGAGACGTCTAGAGTGTAGGTGGAGGAGATCAGGGGTGCTTCTGACCGAACACACTTAAGAGCCCATTATCGGGCCTTTGCTGTAGCAGTGAGGATGGCGAAGAAGAAATTCTTCTCCGTTTCCATTGCCTCCTCACAATGCCATCTGGCGGAGCTTTTTCGGGTGGTGCAGGGGCTGATACATCCGGGCTTGAAGAAAGATCTTGTGCCACCCTCGAAGGCCCGCTGTGACAACTTTGCCAAGCATTTCAGGGAGAAAATCGTTCAGATTCGCCACGAGCTTGACTCTGCTGTTGAACCAGATTCTACTGGAGAGACGCCATCGACACTGTTGAGTCCACAATTAATGGATGAATTTCAGTTGTTGCGGCCTGATGATGTGGACAAGGTGCTTGGACAAGTACGTCTTACCACTTGCTTACTAGACCCATGCCCATCTTGGCTACTTAAGAAAGCCAAGGACGGGATTGGGACCTGGATCCTGGAGGTGGTCAATGCCTCTTTAAGAGACAGCCGGGTACCTGCCCCTTTAAAGGAGGTGGTAGTCCGGCCAGTCCTAAAGAAGGCATCCCTGGATCCAGAGGTGGCTGCCAATTATAGACCCGGTGGCCAACATCCCGTTTCTGGGCAAGGTGCTAGAGTAGGTGGTGGCAGGACAACTCCAAGCACTCTTGGATGAAACTGATTATCTGGACCCATTTCAGTCCGACTTCAGACCCGGGTATGGCACTGAATCTGCCTTGGTCACCCTGTACGATGACCTGTGCAGGGAAAGAGACAGGGGAAGTGCGTCCCTGTTAGTTCTCCTGGACCTCTCAGTGGCTTTTGATACCATCGACCATGGTATCCTTCTGAATAGGCTAGGGAGTTGGAGGCACCGCATGGTGGTGGTTCCGCTCCTATCTCAACGGCCGATTTCAGAAGGTGGTGCTGGGGGACTATGGCTCTGCGCCATGGCAGTTATGCCATGGAGTTCCACAGGGGTCCATTTTGTCCCCTTTGCTATTTAACATCTACATGAAACCGCTGGGAGAGGTCATCAGGAGGTTTGGGCTGCAGAATCATCAGTACGCTGATGATACCCAGCTCTACCTCTCATTTTCCACCAATCCAGGTGAGGCAGTGGCTGTGCTGAACCGGTGCCTGGCCGAGGTAATGGGCTGGATGAGGGCCAATAAACTGAAGCTCAATCCAGACAAGATGGAGGTCCTGTTGGTGGGTGGCTCGGGCCTCAGAATGGGGGACTTGGGCCTTGTCCTAAATGGGGTTGCACTCCCTCTGAGGGACAGGGTTCGCAGCTTGGGAGTGCTCCACAACCCTGAACTGTCTCTAGAAGCTCAGGTGACAGCGGTGGCGAGGAGCGCCTTCCTTCAGCTTCGGCTGATACATCAGCTGCGTCCCTTCCTGGAGAACGACTGCCTGGCGACAGTGACACACACGCTGGTAACTTCCTGATTAGATTTCTGTAATGCACTCTATGTGGGGCTACCCTTGAAGACGGTCTGGATACTTCAGTTGGTGCAGAATAGAGCTGCCAGGTTGCTGACGGGGACTGGGCGTTGTTCTCATACAACCCCAGTTCTCTGTCAGCTCCACTGGCTCCTGATTGAAGTCCAGGCCCAATTCAAGGTGTTGGTTATGACCTATAAAGCCCTTAAACGGCTTGGGACCTGGATATCTAAAGGAACTCTTGCGCCCATATAGGCTCTCCCACCCCTTGTGATCAGCAACAGATGCCCTTCTCCAGGAACCCTCTGTGAATGATATTAGGAGGGTGAGTACCCGGAGGAGGGCTTTCTCTGCGGTGGCGCCCCATCTATGGAATGCGCTCCCCAGAGAGGTCCGCCAGGCGCTGTCATTATTTGTTTGTCAGCGCCAGGCTAAGACCTTTTTATTTAAAACTTATTTTAATTGCTAAATTATTTGATTTATTAGGATTTTAAAGTTAGCTGAGAATGCACCAGGGGTTTTAATTTTTTTTCTTTTAAATTGCTATATTGTTATTTATGTATGTTTTTTTGTATTTTTTGTGAGCCGCCCCGAGGCTTTGTTGCGATGCGGGCGGCATAGAAATGTTTTAAATAAATAAATTAAATAAACTGTGATCGTGGCCATCTCCCCACTCAGGTGGGGAGATGGCTGCAATCTTGGTTGCCACCCAAAGCAGAGTTCATGTCCCAAGTCAAAATCTTCATGAAATTTTTGTTCGTGACCCTATTTGGTCATGAACCAAGGTGTTTGTGAGCCGATGTACCACTATATATGGTTATAGATATGGGAGAAAGAGAGAGAACTAGCATGGGCATTGGAACATGTTGTAAGCCGCCCCGAGGCCTTGGCAAGGGGCGGCATAGAAATGTTTTAATAAATAAATAAATAAAAATAAAAAACATTGCTCCCCAGCATATAAAATTCCTAATACAACCTGGGTACACTGTGCATGTTTCTGGCTCATGTCTCTGATCCTGAAGGCTACTTACTTGCTGCTTGTTTTAAATTTAGGCTGGGATTCTCCCAAAGGCAATACCTGCTGATTTCATGCCTATGTAGTATTTTTATGTAGAAAAAAGGTGGATCCCAAATTTAAGCATAATTACATTAGACCCATTAAAATAAATATAACTTAAGTTTCATTTCATAAACAGAAGAATAGCATATCCAGTTTATAAATGTATAGATTTTTTTAAAAAACTCAAACATTTAAAATATGTAACATAGTTCCACGGTGCTAAGGTGCTCAATTCATAGGACCCTGGGCGTTCATCACAAAACAGGGATGTTAACTGCTCCCTAGCATATGCTATAGGTTTTCATGCAGGCCCAGCTGTAAAAAGTTGGTTTCTTCTTCCTCCCTGCATATTAGGCTGACATCCTCTTCAAAGGCTGTGGCCCTCCAGCTGGAATCCACCTATCGACTTGCCGAGGATACTGCCCGGGCACAGAATGCCACCTTGCATTCTCAGGAGCAGATCCTGCATGATGGGGAGCTGCTCCGGCGGATGCTCCATGAATCCTCTCAAGGTAACAGAAGGGAGCTAGGCAGGAATTAGGCTCAAGAACCAAGGCTTGGAGGTTTTTAAGGGTGAGCAGTGATGTTACAGAGACTTGAGTGATATCCCTACCCACAGTATTCCTTTTCCCACTGACACAGAAAACCTGCTCCAAGCCTATCCCCTCTTTCAAAATACAGGGGGTGCCAAAAATGTATATACACATTTTAAGAGATGTTATCTATGTATTACTTTTTGAAGTTGATTTGAAATATGGTAGGAATGTATAGTATGACATTCGCTCCAAAGATAACGTTAATCAAATGAATACTAGCAATCACCATGCAACAGTTTTTAATACAGTTTTTTCCTTTCTTAAAATGGGTATACTTTTTTTGGCACCCTGTGTATAAATAGCCCCTTCCACTTTCAAGTATGTAGGTACTTACAGGGATGCATGAGGAATTAATTTTTATGAACTGATCTGATCAACACATCCCAGATGAATGTTATCCTTTGTACTTTTGGTTCAAAAAAAAAGTTCAAAATGCATATTTGAGGTTTAGATATTTATAGAAATGTGTGCCTTTAGAGAAAATACATTTAGAAATGTTATTCAAAAAGCAGTGTCCTCAAAAATGCATATTTAAATGCATTTTGCAAGTTATATTAAATATTAATTCATTGATATGGAAATAAGGGAATAGGCTTATGAATATAAATATGTGAAACTGACACAATTTGGAAACTGACTGACCTACCAATCCCTAACTACTTGAGGGCTGTTTCTGGTGTACTTTCTTGGTTTGGCTGGAAGAGAAAATGAGTACTGGCTTGCCTCTCACCTCTGCAGGTATACGCCATGCTTTCCAAGAGTTGCAGGATTCAGCAGCTGAGCAACGCGTCACCTTTGCCGAGATCTTCAACCGAGTAGCATTCCTGCACCATTTTGTGGTGGGGGAGTCCAGTGCCCTTTACTCCATCTTCTTCCATCTTTTGGGTGGAGCAGCCAGCCTGGTGCTCACCTCTAGCCAGCGAACTGCAGGAGCACGGTGAGAAAAAGAGGACAGATGATATCAAAGAAATTCCTGCTTAATTATTCTAAGAATAGGCTAGGTTGGATGGATTGTAGGGTTCAAATCCCTTTGAACAGGGGTGCAGAATCTCCCTCAGCTGAATAGTGTTTTGAGTAAGTTTGAGGGGGCTGCACTGCAGTAGTGAACACAGACAAAGGGAATGGGGAGCAGGACCAAAATACCAGCTTACTTTAGCTTAGAGTTCTTATTGGCAATAACAAAGCCTTAGGAGAGGCATTTCAGTCTTAAGCCACTACCAAATTATTGGTAGTTGGGCAAAAAAGGGATGGGACCATGGCTCTCCTGTGATTTTTGGTCCAAAGGAAGCTTGGACTTGGTCCCTGAGCCTGAAGTTACATGTGCCTGCCTTTGAGGGGTTCTGGGACTTGGCTTAAGCATGGAGCAAGAAATGGGACAAGAGTCTCCGACACTACTCAACACAGATAATTTGGGCCTCACAAGCTTTTCTTATGAAATTGGTAGCATTACTGGGGAGGAGATGCAGCTCAGAATGAACATAAATGTTTTGCCCCCAGAAGATGCCAGGTTTAGTCCACAGCATCTCCATGCAGTTCTGGGGAAGATTCCTGCCAGAAATCCTGCGAGCTGCTGCCAGTCAGTGGAAGGGCAATACAGAACTAAGTGGGTTGGTGGTCAGGCCTGGTGCAAGGCAGGTTGCCATGATGCTAAGACCATAGCTCGTCTTGCAGCACGTGGCTGCTAGCTGAAATCCCATTTTTCAAAATAGATATGTGCAAGTCCAAGACATAATTAGAGTCGAGGGGCAACTCAGGGCATTGGACATTACAAAGGCGCCAGGCCCTGACGGGTTACACCCGAGGGTACTTAGAGAGTTGGCAGGGGTTCTCTCACGCCCTCTGGCCTCCATTTTTGAGGCCTCGTGGAGAACGGGTGAAGTTCCAGAGGACTGGAGGGTGGCGTCAGTGGTCTCAATTTTCAGAAAGGGTAGTAGAAGGGTCATGGGGAATTACAGACCAGTTAGCCTTATGTCCATTGTAGGAAAAACAATGGAAAGACTCATCATAGCGAGTGATCTAGTGATGCTAGATAGGGAAGGGAGGCTGGCAGCTGCACAACATGGCTTCCGCAAAAACAGGTCCTGCCAGACAAACCTTGTGGAATTCTATGACAAGGTTTCGAGATGGCTAGATGGAGGGGATGCAGTGGATGTGGTTTACCTGGATTTCAGCAAGGCCTTTGACAAAGTGCCCCATGAGGTCCTGGTTGAGAAACTGAGGAGTTTTGGGATACACCAAAGCACTGTCCGGTGGATTAGGGCATGGTTGACTGACCGAAAGCCGAGGGTAACCATTAGTGGGGAATCATCAGGATGGCGACCAGTGACAAGCGGAGTCCCCCAGGGCTCTGTCCTGGGGCTGATCCTGATTAATCTTTTCATCAGTGACATGGAAGAAGGGGTGAACATTCTGCTGGTCAAATTCGCAGACAATACTAAAACAGGGGCAGTGGCCACGACTGAGGAGCTGGTACTCCAGATCCAAAAGGATCTGGACAGACTATGGGCAGGAGACAGCAGGATGGCGTTCAATGTGGATAAGTGCAAGATCTTGCACTTGGGGCATAGGAATAGGTGTCATAAGTACAGGTTAGGTGACAAGTGCCTGGAGAGCAGCACTTGTGAAAGGGACCTTGGGGTACTGGTTGACTGCAGGCTAAACATGAGTCAGCAGTGTGATGCGGTGGTCAAGAGGGCGAACGCCACCCTTGGTTGCATAGCCAGAAGTGTGGCTTCTAGATCGAGAGAAGTATTACTACCACTCTATATGACTCTGGTGCACCCGTAACTGAAGTATTGTGTTCAGTTTTGGGCCCCTCATTACAGGAAGGATATAGCCAGGTTAGAGTCAGTGCAGGGTAGGGCCACAAGGTTGGTGGCCAGTTTGTATGTTGTACCTTCAAGGTCTGTAAAACTTTGCAAACATTGCTTGGCTCCTAGAAACTTCCAGTCCTAAATGGTGCTGATGGGGAGGGTAAGTAGCTGCCCCATCACTGATGGCAACCTGTGCAGCAGCCCTCTGATTTCCCATGTGAGACTTGTTTTCTATTATCTTGAGGCCAAGGAACCAGCTGTCTTTAAAAAGAAAGCTGCGGTCTTCAGAATGCCAGATTGTGCAACTGAGATCAAAGTTTGTAGTCACATGCCTATAATGACCCACTTCTCAGCATGTTTCTTGACACTTGCCCCTCCCCACACTTTTTCTATCTTCAGGTTCATTTTGCTGACCTTGGTAGGAGCTAACATTTACCTAGAACGTGTCATCTGCAGCCTTCTCATGGATAACTTGGAGGAGAGCTATGACCTGACGGTAGGACCTTTGCCTTGCAGTAATAGAGAGGGAGCAGGGCAAGGTACATCTCCCCAGATACACTGTGCCTGGAGCAAAGCTTTGATGCTGATCTCTGCCGAGGCACTGTCTGGCTGTTCAAGCGTAGGTGGTTTGATGTGGGCCTCTGCAGCCCTGCTTCCTCCCAGTGCCATGGTGTGATGCTTGCCCTTGTCAAGGGAAGGTATCTCTCTGCACTGTGGCATGCTTCTTTTGTAGGGGTTTGCCAGAAGGGACAGGAATGAGACCGTGCAAGGGAGAAGCAGCTGAGCAGAATGGAATGATTCTGAGAGATCATAAGGAAGCTCGTGGTTTCCAGCTAACTATTTAATCCTGATCTGCCTCTGTTGGAGATTCAAGGACTGGTGAAAGGGCTGTTTTTATTTTGCCCCTGGCAAGAGAACAAAACCAGAGGAACCATGAGTTGGGAATCCTTTTTTTTTTTTTTTTTTTTGCATTGCATGCAGATTGTTTTAATTGAGTGGATAGCTACCCCAAAGCCCGACTCCCAAACATTGTGAGTGGATGACCAGGCAGAGCCATGCAATGCTTATCAAGAGTTGCTACTTGGCATCAGGACCTTCCAAGTTCTAGTGTAAAAAAAGGAAAAGACTGCTTCTGTGAGCTGCCTACATTATGCTAATTGTGCACCTCTGTCGCATTGTATAATTTATTTTTCTGTTATGATTGCCCTGCATCATCCTTCTGTTAGGCATGGGCAGAGGCAAGGAAATATGTAGAAGCTGAAATTCTCTCCAAATGCACAGGAGAACCCTGGGGCTGATCCACACATGGCATTAAATAGCAGGCAGAGTTCAAGCTTGCGGGACCTTTTTCTTTTGACTGAAAGTCCAAAGTGCCTAGCAGAAAGTAATGGATTTGAGGAATGGACATGCTGTTAAAATTAAGAAATAGAATGCCTGCTCAATTCAGGACTGTTTAGTAGCCAGACTGCTTCTGTCTTTTTTCTTACTGCAGAAAATCCATTATGAAAAGACAAAATGGCCCCATGATGCCAATTCTTATGGGGACTGAAAAGCCAGGAAGCCTCTGAAGCAGACTGACCAAACATAGGCTTGCTGTGAACCCCACTTATGAATCTGCCTTGGTTTGCCCCTTACCCCATCTAAGATACTAATATTACTAAAGTAAAGGTTGATAACAGTACTGTAATAGATATCTTTCTCTACATCCCCGAACCCCTGCTTTATTCTGCCTGCTTCTGGACTTAAAGCCATGTGGTTAGAACAAAAATATTAGTGAGGGGGTGATTGAGGAGAAAAGGTGTCCCTGAGAAGCAAGCCTATATATTCCAACAGCAAGCTTTCCCCCACCTCCAGAATTTGAAGGGTAGATTGGAAGCTGTGCTACGGTTAACAATGAGAGTTAATAGTGCTGAGATAAATATGCAGCTGGGTGTCTTGTGGAACACGGGGGTGGGGGGGGCACATGCCTCAGGGTGGCAGCACTATATTTGCCTCTTTCCATATATTTTTGTGTGAAAGCATTCCTGTAAGATGCCCAAGCCATGAAGCATCAATTCTCTTAGCAAATCTTGTACAATACAGCTGCAATTCTACTTGATTCCCTTGTCACCCTCACAATTCCCTTATCTAAGAGACATCAACCTAACTTTTAGATCTCTTTTTTCTTTTCTCCCTTCTCCCCCCCCTCTCTTTTTTTTTTTTTTTTTTTTTTTGTGGAAGACCTCCTCCTGCAGTGATAAACATTTATTCACTCCTTGCATGCATGCACACACGCTTTGTGTGGCTTGCCTCCAGACGGCAGCAAGATGCAACTCCCCTGCCTGTACTCTGCATACTGGGCTGTATCAAGTCCCATGCCATTGCTCTCAGTTTGGTACTGATGCCAACACATTTATACAAATGGGACAAGTGAGGCATGAACCCATTTCAGAACTGGAATAAAGAGATGGTGGAAAATATTTGGAGTTCATAAAGCCGTACCTTGGGTTGATGGCACTGGAGGAAAAATAGGTGCTTGATCAAGTGTGACAGAGGATGGCCTGTACTTTGTGCTTCAACAAAGTCACCTCATTTTTCACCAAGGAAAACAGACATTCACAACTTGCATAATGGCACTGGCCAAAGACATTTTGCTGCATTAGGAGGAGCACAAATGCCTCCCTCCCTCCAGTTGAGGTACATGCCACCCAAAGCCAGTTTCTGGAGCATGAGTCAGAATATTCTGCCAGTACTTTTCACCAGCCCTGCAAGTAGAAATACAGTGATCAGAAAGGAAATAACTAAGTTTGCTGCCTACTTACTATTGGACTCAAGGACTCTGGCCCTGGTGCACTTTGCCTGGTTAAGCATGACAAGGTGGAGTGGTGAAAAAAACATTTTAATTGCAGTAGTAGTTCAATCACAGTGAAATGACAGTCAACCCAAGTGCATGACAGAGTCCCCTTTCATACCACTGCTGACCAAGTACCAGTGACGGCTGCTTACTGGGTTGAAATTCCTGCTGCGAGTGCTGATTGGCACATTTGAATTCAGGTGGTCCCTGCACTTACCTGGGAGGCTGAGCTATCTGGGGGCTGGGCTGGGAGCTTTGTTCAATCTCCTGCTGTGTGTAATGCTCCAATTTGCTGCAATGATGCTTGGGATGTGAGCATCCTGCCCAGGCTTGATGCCAGCCAGACAGGTATGTCCTGCATTATAATGCCCCAAATCTGCTACCTGAGGCAACTGCCTCACTCAGCTTCATTCTAGGGCTGGACTGCATATAACACACACTGATTAAGCAGCTGTACATATTGCACCTTATTAAAGTTACTACCTTGTTATTTCAGATCAAGGGCAACTTCCTGTTTGTCCAGCCAGATGCCTCTAGGATCTCACAAGCAGGGCATGAAGATGACAGCCTTTCCTTAACACTTGTCCTTAGCATCTAGTACTCAGGTTATATGTTTATATTAATTTTCAGACTGACAGGTGCAGCCTTGAGGGATAGAAATGTGCCCTTCCACATAACCATGAAGCTGAAGGAATCCCATACTGCTTTGCATCCAATTCCTGTAATGCTAGAAGTTGATGGAATTTGCCCCCAGAGCCAGCTGACAAGACTGGCATTGTGGGTTTAATGGTTGAGGCTTGCTAGAGGTTGAACAGGGTCATTTTGGTAGCTTTGACTTGTGCTTACTCACCTCAGGAGACCATTTCCTTCTGGGTGGGCCTGTCACGCCGGGGCTTCACTGGCCTGGGCTTGGCCATTGTGGCCTTCTTCATCTGGACCTACAAGGACCCAGCCAAACAGAGTCAGGAAGTGCTGCAAACTCTACAGGAGACCAGGACAGAGATTCAGCAGCTTCTGCAAGAAACAGGTAAAGAGCAAGGGAACACATTCAGGTGAAGCCTGCTGGACAGCCGGCCCTGCTTTCTGCAGTGGGTGCTCTGTGGTTGTGAGAGACCCGAAGGGGACATGTGGTGTTTTCTTGTCCTCCAAATGGGAGGTGACAAAGAACAAAGGATGGAGTGGGAGATGGAAGCAGAAATGGGAACTGTAGACAGAGCCCATCCAAATAAGCACATGTGCACACAGAAGAGATGTGCAGACTTTCAAATAGCTGCTCTGAAGGTGGCTGAGAAAGGGAGTGCTGCCGTTGCCTAGCAACCACCACAGAGGATCACCCCGTTTTCCTTGCCTAGCCAAAGTGCTTAGTCAGGATTTCTGGGACCGGCTAGCGTGCCTTCATGCGCGTGTGGCAAGGGAAAGGACTGTGGGGAAATGAAAGGACACGCTGTAAGAAATCCACAGTGCATGGGCTGCATTCCAGCAGCCTTTTCTGTATTCCAGAATGTCTCCCCAATTAACTTGAGCCCCTTTCTTATCTCTAACCTAGAATATAAAAGTGAAACAAGCCTCGTTCGTGGTTGCCTGGGCTTATAGACCTTGAGGTTTTTTTTGCTGAACAGACAGTTTTGTCATTGTAGTCCCTATGCTGGTAACTTCATATTTGGTTTACTGCAGTACTCTTTATGTGGGGCCACCATTTTGCTCAGAGTGGAAGCTTCAGCTGGTGCAGAGTGCAGAGGCCGGGACACTGAGTGAAACAGAGCTATCACACTGTGTTGGCTGCCTGTTATTTTATTTATTTATTTGTTGTTGTTGCTAGTCTCTAAATCATGTCTGACCCACCGCAGCCACATGGACAACATTCGCCCAGGCCCTGTCCCCCACCATCCCCCAGAGTCCACTTAAGCTCACACTGACTGCTTCAGTGACTCCATCTAGCCACCTCATTCTCTGCCGTCCCCTTCTTCTTTCGCCATCAACTGTTCCCAGCATTAGGCTCTTCTCCAGGGAGTTCTTCCTTCTCATTAGGTGGCCAAAATATTTGAGTTTTACCTTCACTATCTGGCCTTCTAAAGAGCAGTCAGGGTTGATCTCCTGTAGGACTGACTGGTTTGATCTCCTTGCAGTCCAAGGGACTCGCAGGAGTCTTCTCCAGCACCACAATACATTTGTTTAAAATTTATTACCTTCAGGTCTTGCTGTTGGCATACACAAGGCCTGAATAACTTGAGACCGGTTTTCTCAGGAGGATTGCTTTCTCAGATGCACATCCATTTGAGCACTAGGATTATCAAAGAGATATCTTGTGGCAACCTGGATGTAGATCTTATCTTTGGTGGTGCCCCTAGTGCCATCTATGGTGAGCTTTAGGCTCATGAAACACACATCGGTTTACCCAGGTCTTCCCCCAAATAGTTGTGCTGCCCTACTTATTTGTCAGTGTTTGGCTTTAATGTTTGTCCCTATTTTAATGGAATTGGAAGGAAGGGGTAAACTGCATAGATTTTTTAAAAAAACAGTAAACAGCACATACATCTATTAAATGTGTATGATCTGTTTTTCAGAGATGCTGTTGGCTAAATCAGAGCTCCTGCTTCAAAACTCTGAGCTCAGTGCAGAATGTCAGGTGTCTGCGGACTTGGGATTCCCAGAACTGCTGTCCTATTCAGGGTGTAGAGCTGAAGTATCAGGAAAGGAGCACTGGACTGGGCAGCCAAAAAGTGAGTGCTACATCTGCGGGGAGGTGACAGAGAACTGGCGTGCTTGAGTGACAAGAGTGCTGATCTTGGGACAGGGAACATGTCTGTTAAATTGCCACCCTCCATGGGTCCCTGAGTGGTCTGGAACATATTAATTAATTTCTTATATACTGTCCAATCATAAAATCTCAAGACAGTTTACATAAAAAGCCAGAAAAATATAAATATACATAAAACCATATTACAGCTGACAATAGTTAAAAACTCCTCGGTGCCCACATTTGTTTGAACTAATTAAAATACATTATAGATTAAAAAACTGGGAAAATAAAAAGGCCTTGGCCTGGTGCTAAATTGAGTGAAGCGTCAGCACCAGGCACACCTCTCTGGAGAGTGAGAGCCATAATTGGGCACTAACACAGAGAAGTGCCAAATCTCTCTCAACCTGCCTTTCAGTGTTGCTATGAGGCTAAAAACACAATTCTGGAGTAAAAGCAGGTTTGAAATGTAAACATAGAACATTGTATTCTGCTGCTGTCAACTTTTCCTGTTGTATCTAATGTGTGTTTCCATATGTGTCCTTTTTTTCTGGATTTGTTGTCATCTGTTCATACTTTTTGTAGAACTTACAGGTAACAAAATTTATTTATTTTCCGATTTATATCCTGCTTTTTTCCTACAAAGGGCTCAAGGCAGCTTACCTCATTCTCCTCCTCTATCTTATCCCCACAACAACAACCCTGTGAGGTAGGTTGGGCTGAGAGTCTGTGACTGGCCCAAAGTCACCCAGTTGGCTCCATGGCTGAGCAGAGACTAGAACCTACATCGTCTGAGTCCCAGTCCCATGCTCTTAACCACTACACCACACTGGCTCTCCAAAATGGCCATATTATTTTGTTGCAGCGTTTTCCTGTTTCCAGAGTGGATGTGTGTGCCTGCATTCTACCCCTGCACAGTTTGCAGCATTAGAGAAAATTGCTGTGTTTTCCTGTCTAGTGTAAAGTGGCACAGTGTTGTTCAACCTTTTCTGGACTCCTGTGTGGTAAATTAGTGTGCTGCTTGCTGGTGCTACATTTTTCTTTCTGTTCATTGAGTAAGCTGTACTCAACGGGAGAGAGAAGGGTACAGCCAGCAATCAAGACACTTTTAATTAAACAATATAGAAGATCCAGGCCATGGGGAAGGGTATTGCTGAACCACAGAAAAACAGAGCTAGAGCAAGCACCTTGCGAATGTTTTTACTCTACTTCAGGCTGCTTGTGGAAAAGCCGAGGCTTGGTGGCAGCTAAAGAGGCTTAGCATGGAAGCAGCCAAACTATTGAGTTAAACCACTTGTGAGGGGATGCTAGTGCTGTTTGGCTATAGACTCTCAGCCAAGTTTCAACTACCACAGGAGAATTCCCTATCATGGAAAGAAGGGGTCAGGAACTACCTCTGGGAGAACCTGTGAATAGAATAAGTGGGCTTGCAGTAGAAGATACCTGGCAGTCTGAGGGAATGCAAAGCACACCTGCCAGTCTGCTGCCTGCCTCCATTCTAGTAAGGATATTACATGTTTAAAGTACATGTTCCCGATTCAGGCTGCCATTTCTCCACTCATCCTTCCTTGAACACTGCTATATTAGAGAAGAGGCATGGGTCTGGATGCCATCCAAAACATGACAGATGATATGGAAGAACAGGGCCTTCCATGTGTGGCTCCTTTCTGGCAGAGTTTTTCAATGAGGGAGGTCAGTTTGGTGGAATGTTACTTGCCTGATAAAAACTTCACTATTTGGAACTCCTTTCCTTTGTCTGAGGACTGTTAAGTTTCAATTGGTTGTGAGGCTGACCTTATTCTTAGCTGTGTTTCTTTTTCCCCCCACCAAGACTGCTCATGTTTAGGCTAATCGAGAATGTTTATTTAAATGTGGTTTCAGTGGAAAAAACGTTACCTCAAGTTCTGAGCTGGGAGGGAAGTGCAGGGAAAATCTCTAGGAAGAAGCTGCTCTTGTCTAAAGTTCCATTCTGAAACAACCAAGAGTCAATCTGTTGTTCTTGTAGGGGAAGAGCTATGGGCTAGCAGCCCCAAGCAGAGAGGACGTTCCCCATCCCGCCAGCGCTCACCATCCCGCCACTGCAGTAGGACCCAGAGGACTGTTGCCCAACCACTGGCAATCCCTCTTCCTCTGGAGGGGGTGAGTCCATTGTTTGTGCTATGTAGCTGCATACATCCATTTGTTTATTTGAAACATTTTTAGGCTGCCTTTAAAGATGGTGTACAGGATTTTTTAAAAATACAGCTGAGCTGGGTTGGTCTTTTGGGGGACAGGGAAATCTTTGTGGATGAGAAGAAGGACCAGACAGAAAAAGTTTGACTGGCATTTCCAAGCACAAATACCAGGAATCTGTTTCAGAACAATTCGTTTCCAACCCTCTTTCCTCTCATTTAGCAAAGTGATCTGACCCTAGAACTCTTTGGTTCCGTTTCTTACTATTTGTCAATAAAATAGGGTATGCTGCCCATGGTATGCTGGGAGCCAAGAGGAAGAGGTGAAGCTGGGTGGGGTAGGACACCTGGTGGGAAAGAATCTCTAGAGAATCCCTGTCCTTGCAGCAAAATATATTAGGCTGGAACCACCCCTCGACCCTCAGAAAATGAAGTGGGGTCATGGATTATGCATGCACACAGTGTTCATGCTGCCAAGGTATCCTGGCAGCAGAGTAGGGTTAAGGTGAAGGAAGAGGGAACTGGGCTCAGAAGACACATGCCACAAGGAACATGTGAAGCATCCTCTGCAAGGGGGGATATGAGGACACACTTCCTCCAGCCCCAGTCCACCTCTGCACCCTTGCAATTTTCTGTGCTGACCACTCAATACTCAAAAATGTCTTACAACACGACAGCTGAAGCATACATATATTTTGCAAGTTTGCACTAAGTTGCATAACTTCTCTCCCATTTGTATAATTAAGTTGGTTTTTCAAAAAAGTTTTACATTGTTTATTTAAAATACAGGGAGGCACAAAAATGTGAAGAGCAGTAGCTCCCTGCTCAACCCTTTGGAAGCCTTACCCCAGCTCCCTGGCTCATTTTCAATACATGCTGGGGGAAGGTTTCTGAGGGCTTGGGGATGGGGTTGAAATGAAAACTGCAACGCTGCCCTTTTTCTGTGCCTTGGTGGAATTATGGCATGAACCCAGCCCATCCGGCATCCTGCCACCATACTGCAGATTTCAACAAACAGATCTGTGTGTTTCAGTTAAAAATCTGGAAACAACCCAAGCCTACTTTATTTTTGTACATATAGTTATTTTGCATGATAGAATCAAAAAGCACTGTGATTGAGAGAAGGGTTTTGGCACAAAGTACAAATCACTCTATCTCTGAGAAAGAATGTCAACTTTACTGCATTGCCGCAGTGCTACTGCAAGCTGTAGCATTTGGCTTCTAGCTTAGAATCACAGTGCATTTCTGAGAAACTAGGTTCTTGTGGCATGTGTTCAAAGCTAACTCCTGACCCTTGCAAGAGCAGAGATTCTGAAGGAAATGAAGTGCCTTCTGAATGCTCAGGTCTGGCTTGGACATGAGGTGCTGCTGGCACCCTCACAGGTAAGAGAAAGGAAACAGAGCTAAATCCTCCTCCTCTTCTATCACAATGACTCTACAGCAGGAGTAACTCTTCGCAGCTGAGAGAGAGTACTGTTTTAGCATACCTATGCTATTGTGTTTGATTCATAGCATCAAATTTAACCGTTCTTTCCTGTGAGAAACTGTGTAACACAAAGAATTCTGCTCACAATCCATTGATGTAGTTTTTCTGCCTTCAAAATCCTGTTTGTTGTCTAAGGTACTAGTGGTCCAAAGGCAGTGTCATTAACCAAAGTTCAGATGCTAGGAAGAATAGCACAGTGACTTTGGAGCTGTGTTATCTCCAAGGCAAATCTCTCCTGTTTGTTTCAGGCTTTGCAGTACAACCTTCGGAGCCGGCGATCCCTAGGAGCCCCTCACTCTCTAATTTATTACTAATGCTCTGCTTGCTCAGCCCTGGCCCAAATGTGAGGACTCCAAAGAAATCTTGACACACATCTGTACAACCAACCTTCGAAAATATCTTGTGGTAGGCTTGGTAACCTGGGAATAATCTTCTCTGTCTGAAAGAATAATAGAACAGGAGCAGGGGGGCAGTGCTAAGGCTCAAGTCTGTTATTTCCCCATTCAAGAAGAAATGTCTTTTGGGACAGAGTTTTTGTGCAATGCCACACCTGCAAGACTAGAACGATGAGTCCAAGGACACTGTTTCCTCATCCCTAAATGCAAGAGTACTCATTGCTGCAAGCTCCTAAATTGCCTGCAGCAGCCAGTGACAGATAAAATGCTTGTATGCACATTATGGCCCAGACGCATCCCTTGTTGTATCACCTGCTTTTTCAAGCACCCAGCCATTCCTGATTTTTCACTTCATGGCTGGCAAAAATGCTGTTAAAGGAGAGAGTTTCTGGCACTAGGTCTTCCTGCTGCAGGGGAGCTCTGTCTAGTAGCCTTGGTGCACCTTCCCTGCACTTCCCTTATGGGGGCAGGCATGTCCTCAGGTTGTTCACTTGCCCCTTTAAGAGAGAAGATCCTTCCAGCTGCACCTCCATTTAAGGAGCTACAATAGTCCAAGAACAAGCTTGGGTATGAACTGAAATGAGGCCTTGTATTTCTGGAGTTATAGCTGCTAAAAGGTTTAGGAGCCCAAGGGTAGAGCAGTGGCACTTTTATTTACACACTGTCTCCAATTTTAACCTGTTAAATAATAAAAACATCTTAGAGAAAGAACTCTTTGTTTTGCATAGGCACCATGTCATCAGTTCCTGCAGCAACAAACAAGGATGATGGGTCACAAAGAGTCCCCTTCTGCTACCAATGGCTGGGAGTAGGGCAACCTTCCTGAGGCAGATAAAATAAAGTCCCAGTACCCATCATCTTCTTCGCGCTATTCAGCACATTCCTTAGTCATCTGACAAGCTGAAATTCATGGCTGCTGTCAGTGTTGCAGAGAGCTTGCTGGCAATTTTCTCTGCAGAGAAAAGGAAAATAAATAGGGTTATCGGGTAGCCAAACAACATCTGCCCCCTTCCAAAAATGTGCTGCTGGAGGTGAGTGAGTGAGATCCAAGCTGCTCTGGGGTGGCTACTGTATGTTTGTGGAGGCCATTATAACTATGCCCTGCATAAGGAAAGACACATGGCTGTAATTGGGCAGACTGGGAATGGCCTCTGGCTGAACTGAATATTGCTCAGTTCAGTGCGTTTACAGGGAGGTGCCCAAATCTGTACAACCAATTTGACATCTCCCTTTTTAGCAGCACAGTGGGAATGAGTGAGAAGGGATAATTAAGGTAGTGGAAACCATCCAGCCATCCAGTTGAAGAAGAGTTTCTGAAGCACAGATTTTCTTGAAAGAGGATGGAATAGTGATGCTCAGTAGTGGTGGAGGTGAAGGGCCATATCTGCCATGGAAGGTTGTGTCGGTGGACTCTGACCTAGGGATTCCACCTAAGGAGTGACAGGGCCAGATCTGCATGCTGTTTCCTTCACCTAGGGAGAGTGATGAATGAACCAGGAAAGGCCAGTGTTCAAATAAATATGAGTTCTCCTCCTACTCCTCTTCACTGTTTACCCCAGGAGGAAGTATGGAGGACGGTTGCAGGAGATGGTGACCTTTGGACAGCTTTTCATCTCCCATTAGGGACTCCAAATCATCCACACCAAGCCTTGCTTACTTGCAAGGGAAGACCTCCAACTTTGGATGAACCTTACCTGCCCGCTTCTGCTGTTTTTTGCGCCGCTTGTTTGCTGCTCGCAAGCCCTGTCCCTGGTGCAGGGGGTCTAAGGCGGAGATCTCACCCAAGTCAGGAGCCCTTGGCACAGCCTTCTCTACTTCCGCGAGGGTCTTGCTCTTGGTTTTCAGCTCAACTGTCATTGGGCCAAACTGGAGAGGGCAAGAGAAAGAAATCTCATTACAATTTTGAATTGCTTTAGATGAACCTTCCCCAACCTTGTGCCTTCCAGACATGTTTGGACCACAACACCCAAAATTCCCAGTCAGTGGCCCTGCTGGATGGGAATTCTGGGAGTTGCAGTCCAAATGCCTCCAAAGGGCACCAGGTTGAGTAAGGCTGCTATAGATGAACTTGAAGGCCCTACCTCCTTTTCCTAGAATCTTTAAAACACAGGAAATATACCAGCTCCCCTACAGCTGATGCAAACTGGATTTAGTTGCAGTTCATCCATGCAAGGCATGCCTGAAAAGCCTTGATGCCATTACCAATTGTAGTTTCAACTGCAGTGCTCTATTTGTATACAAATAATTTTTTAAAAAATCAACAGTTCCACACCCATGTTTCCCTGGTGCAGATTTTTGCAATTTCAGCCCATACAGCCTTATATATAAATAACTGCTATTTTATTACTTTATAATTTTACTGTTACTTTTTTACTAACCGTGTTTATATTCAAGCAGCTCATATTGGCACACTGCTTTCATTTTCTCCCTTTCCTTTCACAACAGTTCAGTGAAGGAGGCTAGTCAAAGATAGCAACTGTCCCAAGCTTTTCTCATGACCTCCACGGAAGCATGGGGATCTGAATGTGGATCTCGGCAGCCATCACCTGACACTCACCACATTGGCTTTCTGATTACCCAGGTATCACCAGTGGATTTCCTGCATAGTCCCTCCAGTTTTGTGAAGAACTTTGAGCTTCTTAACAGTGAAATATGGGGGAAATGGATCAATGCAGGCAAATACTGGTAGCTGATTGTGTGTCATGAGCAGGCTGGTGACATTCATCTCTTACTCTGCCTACAGGCAGGGCTGAAGGCAGTGTGCAGAAAAGTCTCATTCTTAAAATGAAGTGGATATGACTAAGTTTTAGCCAGGAGCGCCCACTGAATTTTACAGATCAACTTAGACATTCCTGCTAAAAGTCTGTTACTGCAACTAAATCTAGGCTGGCAAAGGGTTCTTCCCCATTGCCAACATACCCATTTTGTCCATCTTCTTTGGGGAACATTACTCTAGAAGTCAGGGACTAAACAAAGAAATCATTTTTCCAGGGTATCTTCTCTCCAGTGTTAGCTGCCAGTTCTGTTCCTAATTGGTATGGGGAAGGAGTCTCTTTCAACAGTTCAGTCTTCCAGTTTGTCCCCATCTCTAGCCAAAACTAAACAGAGCTTGAGTGTTTTCTAGAATGTGACATCCCAATATGGTAAAACTGCAAGCTTGCAGACTTGGCTACTTTACAGTTATAGAATTACTTGCAAAACCTGGGGGGATATCCTAAAAACAGGGTTTTTTTAATGACCACCGGACATCAAGCACTAGAACCGAACAGTTGCCATCAAGCCCCCTTCTCTAGTTGCTCCAAATTGACTGTTTTTAGCTCCCATTTAGAATTTTCTCTCTCTGCAACACCATGTTTTTCTTCTCACCAATGCTTTAAATGCCAGACACACCATTCCAAATTCCTCAAGAAAGTGTTATCTCCAAGTTACTTCCAAATTTAACCCACAGTCTTTGAAAATTGCATACTGTTTGGGAATGAATATCTGGGGGCTTGGAGACCTGACAAATAGCTCTGCAAGAAAAGCCACAGCCAGTGTCTTGGAAATGAAGACAGATGCATGGCTGTGCATACCTCCAGATCCCTCTCTTCCTCCATCTTAGTCTCTTCTTCCTCTTGGTGGCAGGACCCCTCTTCCTCATCCATCTCGACTTCTGCCCCACTGGTGAGGCCGGAACCCTCTAGGGTAATGCCTGCAGGGCCAGATGGCAAGTCTGCAACAGAGAAGCACCACATAGGTGTTCCTGAAACATTTCAAAGGAGCAGAACCCCTTGCTGGCTTTGCTGCTTTACAGCAGCCAGGGGGCAGGTAGGGTGGTTATTATCCCAAGCCTGACAGATGCCCTGCACCTTACTGTGGGTGAGGTAAAGAGGGCAAAGAGAGCAACACATTTTCAAGAATGCTGGGTATTTCCAGATTCAAAGGCAAGTTACTGCTTTGACACTTCTACAGGTTAAAAAGAAAGAAAGGTATTACCATTGCTCACAAATACGTCAGCCATACCTTCACATGCAGCACTGGTGGGACAGTTAAACTGAAAATCTGCAGTCACATTTGCAAAAATCAAACAGAAAGGAAATGCTGATACTCATAATGGACCAAACTCTTTGTGTGCATGAATGGAGGTGTAGGTGAGAATGAGTTTGCTCAAAATATTTATGCATAGGAACCTCTACTGGCAGGAAATAGAACCCTTCTAATACCTCACCCAGCAGAATCAGAAAGATTTGGTGACTCAAGGGGAGTGTGAGTGAAGGCGAAACAAATAGTCAAGTATTGTCAAAGAGGCATTCCTCCCCTGTGTGTGAGAATGCCTCTTCCAAGTGATGCCTATTGCACAAAGTTTTTGTGCAGCAGGAATGGGGAATGCATGGTCATGTGTTGCTGGGCAGGACTCCTATGATCCCATCCAATGGGCTCTGCTGGTTAGGACTGATGGGAGTTGTAGTTTAACAATATCTGGAGGGCCCACCCCTTCCCCAGTCTTGCTTTTTGTTTTTTTTTACAAGAAAGAAGCCACCTACAGCTATAGCAGGGAGGGTCACACAGTGAAATATCAGTAGAAAATTATGGGAGAGAAATCACTGTGGCTAGTGGGCTCCCTGTTTGCTGTGGGAGGCAATGTTTTTCCTCTGCCTTCATCAGTTCTTTTGAGAGGCAGCAAAAGCACACACGCAAAAGCAAGGACAAATGATAGAGAAGGGAATTAGACTTTTATGAGCTAAGACAGACAGGAAAGGGAATATGGTTCTTGGGAATGCGCAGCTGGTAGCAAAGAACTGTTTTGGAACAACTTGCAGGAAAACCCTGGCATCCCCCTGTCCACTCCACTTACTCGCCAAAGCTGCCTCATTCCCCTGCTCCAGAGCCTCAAAATCGAAAGCCTTGTCCATCTCTGTCACAATCTCAGCACTGATGTGAGTGGGGAGCGTGTGGGTCTCGGGTGGGTGGGTGAAATAGCTGATTTTTCCACTAAAGGAGGAAAAGAGAACAACACTGAAATGGATGGTCATCTTTATAGGGAAAAACTACACCCACCCATCTCTCAGATCCTACTTTTTTCTTTCCCAAACCATGTCTCCCTGTTTGAGACAGGATTAGTACAAAGGGAAACCAGGCTTTGCAAGAGACAAATTCTAGACTTTTTGTCTTTTGTACTGTCTTCTATTCACCTTGTCCAATCGCTCAGCACTGCCTTGGCTGCTTTCTCATGGTCCGGTGTCCCTCCTTTCTTCAGCTTGCCCTGCCGCCTGGCTAAATGAGCCAGAAACTCTGTGGTGTTCCGGAAATCTGGCACGCCATAGTGCTGCATGATCTTTTGGGGTGGAGAGAGAAAAAGAAACTGAAGAGCTGATCGCAGTGGTCAAGCCAGTTGTCCAAGCAGCAGCACACCTGTTGCCACTTCTAAGGGACCTGACAAAAGGCTGTCATGGCACTGGGCTGAGGACAAGCATTGGATACTTACTGGCTTGTGCTGCTCTCCCCCTCCACCCCTTCAGTCCTTCCTCCAGCATTCTTGGCAGCCACGATAATTCTGTAGCTAGCCAACCAACTCTATTGGCACACATGACACAGCTCTCTCTTTATGCAGGATGATTACCTTATAACTGAGTGAACATGTTCGCTTGCTCCAACCCTGTGCCCACTAACTTAGGAATAAATCCCATTCAACTCAGTGAAGCTTATTTCTAAGCAGACACACAAAATCTCACATAGGCCTTTGTGGTAAAAAGTGTTGCTAGGTTAAAAGCGTGCTCCCGATTCACACGTTGGTAGTTTGCTTTTCATGTGGATGCTGTTGAAGGCTGCACAGGCAGCTAAGACTTTTGCCCTTCTCTCTTGTAAAGAAGGGAGGGAGGGTCTCTTTCAATATGGTACTTGCCCAGATGGACATGCATATGTGTGCATCACCAGTGGCAGCTCTGACTGCAACAATTATTCATAGGGTGTTTTAATAAAGTTTAAATATTTCTGAGACAAGAAAACCAACATCAGGCTACATGTGAATGAAACATTAAAAAGAAGACGTATCTCATTACTATGAGATGATGCACATATTGCTCAAGAACAGGGAAGGGGAATGCTTTTTCTCTACAGTTTGTGTACACCGTTATATTAAAAAATCCCCCCCACACACGCACAATTTCACACTCACTCTTTTAAGTCTGCTGTTGCCCAATAAATCAGGAGTGCTAATTTACTCAGTAAATCTGTTACCACCTGTTGCTGTTTAAGATTCCCAAAATAATAACCATGCTGATCTTGTGCAGTCTTGAAGACTAGCACATTTCCTTAAAAATAAGAATTCCAAATTAAGACTATTTGTCAAAATTGTAGCTAAACATATGGGCACTAGTATCCCTAACATATAATAGATTTGTCACTCTAAAAGTACAACCCACAAATCTTGCTAAAACCTTCTGTAACTCTTTGAAAGAAGTTCAGAATTTTTGACTCCCAGCTAGATCACTGTCAACTTCATCATTACAGCCATGGCTTATACCCACCCACCTGCTGCTTGTTGCATCGTTTCAAGATGGCTTCCACTGGGCTTTTAGGGTCAGCCAGTTGCTCTATCTTGATGCAGTTTCGTAAGATCATGGCAGCATCTGAAGCTGAAGAAGCCACAACTATGCCTGGACAGTCTAGGAGTTTTATGTGCTTGTCTAGCTGCACTTCTTGTAGGCACCTAGAAGAAGAGGGGAGGGAAGTGAGAAAAGGCAAGAGAGCAGCCTTTTCCAGTCTGTACTTCTTCGGAGAACCTACCTACAGCCTTGGGCTTCATGTTAGGAAGCCCAACAACCCAGAGCAAAATGCTGGGCTTTTACACCTGTTTTATCACACTTCTATCCTCCTTTCTTCCAACAAGCTGAAGACAAGATGGGTTCACCACATGATCATAACTCAGCAAGGCAAGCCAGACTGAGTGGCAGCAACTCTTGACAGCTTGGGCCTACTTGAATCCAGTTGTCTTTCTGCCAGGCCCAGCATTTTATCCTCAACCATTCTGTGCACAAACTGTGGCTCCAGTGCTGTGAACCCTTTTCAGCCCGAGGGCTGCATTTGTCCTAAGGACACCAGCAGCCGCTCCCCAAGTGAGGGCACCCTCCTCACTGCTGGCATTCATGCCACTGTCGAGACCTCAGTCCCTCACACAGTGCACCTCCCTGGTGCAATCAGGCTTTCAAAAAGCTTCCACTGGCACCAATGGACGCTTCTTCAAAGTCTCATTACAGTGGGGAAAGGCCAATTTTATGAAGGGGGCTGCCACACTGGGAGAGAAGGGTTAGACCTTCCCCAGGAGTAGCACTCCACCCCACTGCAGTGAGGCTTTCAAATACCTTCCCTGACATCAGCATGGGAAGGAGAAATCCCTTATCCCTGCCTAGCAATAAGCAAGCAGGCAGCTGGCAGGCCACAGGTGGCTCCCCATTCTTGATCTTTCCCAGCTTTTGGAGGCCAGGAGAGCAGAGTGTTAATGTAACTGACAGAGCTGTCAAGGATGGCTAGCAAGTAGCTTTGAAATAGACCAATCTGGTCCATTTAGTATGTAGATTTTTTCTCTGATGTTATTTTATGGGTTTAAGTAGCTCTGAAATTTGGGTTGTAAAATTATCGCAAGCTGACTCAAAGGGGGAGAGACAGTAGAATGAACAGGTGTACAAATTATGCCATCAGTACCGATGGTAAGTTATAGCTATGCATATAACTAATAAGATTTAATAGTCTCAATCTGCCAAATTAAGCCTAATCCCATTTTAAGCCATCTAAATGGGTGGTCATCATGACAATTTATGGTAGCAAATTCCAATATTTAACCACATGCTGTTGTGTGAAGTGCTTTTATCTCCCATCAACAGCCCACTAGTCAGCTTCATAGGATGACTCCACTAGGTTCTAATATAAAAGAAGCAGCAAAAGGGTTTTCCTGCTCTGTCACTTCCAGTTCATCATCTGATAGCCCCCTGTTGTCCGGCCAGCCTTTCTTTATCAACATCCTCTAATCCATCGAGTTATGAACATGCAAGACTCCACAACTCCCCTTTCCAGCTACTAATCCAGCTAAGCTTTTCTTAGTTCTGCCTCTGCTTTGTGCACAGAAAAAGACCCCCACCCACCTGTGGCCACCCACAAAAACTCTGCTTCCTCCAAGACAGATCCTGCATTTCATTCCAGGCTTACAGGTTCAGGAGGAGACCCCACAACAAAAGCTTTAGGAAGAAGAGCCCCAAAACTACTTGACTGCCTGCTGCAGCATGCACACAAGAAGTGCTACATACTTGGTGATGCCAGGAGTGGCCCCAATATTGCAGGCCCGGCTCCTCTTCAAGCTGTTGATCAAGCTGCTTTTGCCAACGTTTGGGAAGCCTGCAAGTCAAGGATATCGAAAAGTGCATCCCTCAGTCAAAGCCATGGCCATCTGATGACCACCTCCCCTTGGGAGCTACTCTAGATCTTTGAGCACCCTGCACGGGCTTCTTCCCTCCATACGATCCCTTGTAAATGATTCAGCACAAGCTGCCCGCAAGCCCAGGCCTCCTTGGCCCCTTGAAAAAACTGATGGGGCAGGAGCAAAACAGAGGCCATGACTAGCAGGAGCCTTCCTTGCTCAGAAGGCTAGTTACACCCTGGTTGTGAGCACACCCCTGTCCTGGATACAGCACCACCTACTCCAGGGATGTTGAACCTCTTTCAGCTTCAGGGCCAGAGTCCATTTGGAGAAGCTCCTGAGGGTACCATTATAGTGGCAAGAGTGGCTAAAAGCTAAGTGGGTGGGGACAAGCTCCCAGCATACTTTAATGTGAAACACTGCCCTAACAAAGCTTTAGAATGGGGTAGATGCAAAAAAGCCAGGACACCACCAAACAGCAGGTGACTGGAGGAGGGGCGTGGGACTAGGGCAAGAGAAGTCCCTAGCTTGTCAGATCTGCACCCTGGAGCCTCCTTGGTGGACATGTTGCCTCCTGTCATGGGGTTCAAAGCAGATTCCAGGTATCAGGACTGAATTGTCCCCGCTCCTCTCCTCTCTTCTCCTCATGGGCTTCACATCTTCCCCTGGGGACATCTTTCTTTATCTGGATCTGAGCTCCACCTGGCTTGCGCCTTCTCTGGGAGTAGATGAAGGTGCACAGGATTTTGGCAAAGGCCCAATGGCAGCAGAAGGAAAGGTCTTGCTACATGGAGTTATTCTCCAAAACATCTAGAGGTTGAGGATGGCTGCTCTATCCCGTCTTGGAAAGGAGCTTAAATGAGCAGCGCTTTCCAAGCAGTCCTCCTGCTTACCCACAACCCCAACACTGATGGATGTCTTGACGTCCTGATTCCGGGAGTAGTTAGCCAGCACCTTCATCAGGCAGTCTGCCCCAACACAGGCGCCACTACTCAGCAGGTCACCTGATGCCTGAGTTACCGGGACACGGTTTTGTTGCTAGGGAAGAAACGGGTTGTTAGTAAACATGCCAAGGAGGTCAGCAGAGTCTTCTCTATGCCCTGGCAGGCAGGCAGGGAGAAGCTGAGTGTTACAATCCAAGACATAGAAACATAGAAAACAGAGCAAGTCAGAAGGGGCCTCCCAGGCCATCTAGTCTGACCTCCGGCACCAGCCGGCTCCGCTCACAACATGCCCACCATGTGGACGTCCAGCCTATCCTTGAACACCCGCACCGATGGGGCCTCAACCACCTCCCGGGGAAGCCCATTCCACACCCTCGGGGTCCTGACTGTCAGGAAGTGCTTCCTGGCATCCAAATGGAACCTGGGTTCCCTGAGCTTTGCTCCATTGGAGCACGTCCTGCCTTCCTCTGAAGGGGAGAACAGGTCTCTACCCATCTCCATGTGACATCCCCTCACATACCTGTATGTCGCCAACATATCCCCTCTGAGTCTCCTCTTCTCCAGGCTGAAGAGACCCAGTTCCCTCAGTCTCGCCTCATACAGCATCCCCTGCAAACCGGCCACCAACCTTGTGGCCCTGCGCTGCACTGACTCCAACCTGGCTATATCTTTTCTATAATGAGGGGCCCAAAACTGAACACAATGCCCCAGTTGTGGGCGCACTAGAGTCGTGTAGAGTGGTAGTAATACCTCTCTTGCTCTAGAAGCCACACTTCTGGCTATGCAACCAAGGGTGGCGTTCGCCCTCTTGACCACCGCATCACACTGCTGACTCATGTTTAGCCTGCAGTCAACCAGTACCCCAAGGTCCCTTTCACAAGTGCTGCTCTCCTGCCACTTGTCACCTAACCTGTACTTATGACACCTATTCCTATACCCCAAGTGCAAGACCTTGCACTTGTTCACATTGAACGCCATCCTGTTGTCTCCTGCCCACTTCCATAGTCTGTCCAGATCCTTTTGGATCTGGAGTACCTGCTCCTCAGTTGTGGCCACTGCTCCAGTTTTAGTGTCGTCTGCGAATTTGATCAGCAGACTGTTCACCCCTTCTTCCATGTCACTGATGAAAAGATTAAACAGGATCAGCCCCAGGACAGAGCCCTGGGGGACCCCGCTTGTCACTGGCCGCCATCTCGATGATTCCCCGTTAATGGTTACCTTCTGCTTTCGGTCAGTCAACCATGCCCTAATCCACTGGACAGTGGTCTGGTGTATCCCAAAACTCCTCAGTTTCTCCACCAGGATATCATGGGGCACTTTGTCAAAGGCCTTGCTGAAATCCAGGAATACCACATCCACTGCATCCCCTCCATCTACCCATCGCGAAACCTTGTCATAGAATTCCACAAGGTTTGTCTGGCAGGACCTTTTTTTGCAGAAACCGTGTTGAGTGGCTGTCAGCCTCCTTTCCCTATCTAGCATCACTAGATCTCTCTCTGTTATGAGCCTTTCCATTGTTTTTCCTACAATGGACGTAAGGCTAACTGGTCTATAATTCCCCATGTCCTTTCTACTACCCTTTTCAAAAATTGGGACCACTGATGCCACTCTCCAGTCCTCTGGAACTTCACCCGTTCTCCACGAGGTCTCAAAAATGGAGGCCAGCGGGCGTGAGAGAACCCCTGCCAACTCTCTAAGTACTCTCAGGTGTAACCCGTCAGGGCCTGGCGCCTTTGTAATGTCCAATGCCCTGAGGAGCCCCTCAACTTCAAGGGAGGTGACTCTAATCAGTGCCCCTAAGTCCCCAGCCTCATCTAATCTCCTATGCGGATATCCCCCGTCCTGCTTTGGGGAGAACACAGAGGCAAAATAGTCATTTAGCATCTGTGCCTATTCCCTCATATCAGTCACCGGATCTCCTTCCTCCTTATTTAGTGGTCCCACCACTTGTCTCCCCTTCCTCTTCCTATTTACATGCTGAAAGAAGCCCATTTTATTGCTCTTGATATTCTTGGCAAGTCTCAGCTTGTAATCAGCCTTAGTCTTGCGAAGAATTCTCCTGCAGTGGGCCTCCTCCTCCCGGTATACCCTTTTGTCTATTTCTCCCAGTACCCATTTGCTACGGAGGTTCCGCTTTCGTCTAATCCCTCTAACCACCTCCTTTTGCATCCATGGCGGCACTCTCCTTTGCCTCCCCACCTTACTGACTTGAGGTATCGTCAAGGCTTGCACCTCCAAAACCTCCCTTTTGAGTGCTATCCACCCCTCCTCAACTTGCTTACATTCCAGTAACCTATCCCAGGAGACTTTCCCCAGTCTGGCCTTCAGTTGGCCAAAGTTGGCCCTCTTGAAGTCCCAGCTTCTAGTGCTCGACCTGCTGCCCGTCCACAGTCCCCTGATCTCAAAGCAAAGGATGGAGTGATCACTCGCTTCCAGAGCTCCCCTAATCTGTACTTCACCTATCAGCTTCTCCCTATTGGTCAAGACCAAGTCAAGGATGCTTCCCCCCCTCGTCGCCTCTCGGACCCTCTGTGTGAAAAACGCTCCCTCAATAGCTCAACGTGACCTGGCTGTCACCGCCGAGTGAGTCTCCCAAGTAATATCCAGGAGATTGAAATCTCCCATAATTACTGTGTCTCTCCCTTGAGATATCCTTAGAATCTGGCCTGTCAGGACATCATCCAGGGTCTCAAGTTGACCTGGAGGGCGATAACATACCCTCACTGTCAGGTCTCTTTCCCTGTCAAAACCCCTAAGTTTCACCAAACTGCCTCTACCAAATTCCCATCTGTGCTGCATTCTATCTCACTGCATCCTATCCCTTCCCTGACATATAAAGCCACGTCCCCACCTCTCTTTCCCTTCCTGTCCTTTCTAAAAAGGTGATACCCTTCTATGTTCACATTCCAGACTTGCCTTTCATCCCACCAAGTTTCTGTGATTCCCACCAGATCATACCCTCCTATTCCCAGGAGAGCTTCAAGCTCTTCCTGCTTATTACCCATGCTCCTAGCATTGGTGTACATGCACCTCAACTCCTTCCCACCGCTTCCTTCTCTTTGAGTTCCCAGCCTCCTCCTTCCTCCCATCCTCCCTGATACCTGGCCCCTCTCTGAAGGAGTCCTGTCAGTCCCTGCAGTATCTCTAAAACCCTGCTCCCAGAGCCCTGATCCTCCCCCCACACTTGTCCAGTGCAGACACGTTCCTGGGGGGCCTGAACTCACCCCCACCGGCTCAGTTTAAAGTTTTCCGGATGAAGCTCGCTAGAGCATCTCCAAAGGACCTTTTCCCCATCCTCGTGAGGTGTAACCCGTCCCTTGCCAGAAGTGCATTGGCAAGAAAACGAGTGCCGTGGTCGAGGAACCTGAAGCGTTCCTTCTGGCACCACCCCCTAAGCCAGTCATTCACCTCAGAGGCCCTTCTGTCCCTTCCTGGCCCAAATCCCCAGACAGGTAAGATTGACGAGAAGCCACTTGGGCCTTCAGCTCCCTGAGTTTCTTCCCCAAGGCCTCAAAGTCCCTGGTGGTCCCAACCACACCCTGCCTGGCCACATCATTTGTGCCCACATGGATCACCAGGAGCGGCTGGTGACCCCCAGAGCGAACAAGACGCTCCACTCTGTCCATCACATGTCGGATGCGTGCGCCCGGCAGGCAGCAAACCTCCCTTGTCTCCAGGTTGGGGCGGCACACCGCCGGCTCAGTGCCCCTCAGCAGGGAATCCCCAACAACAATCACCCACCACCATACCTTTCCGGTGCTGGTGGGCGGCCGTGCCCTGGCCCTTGCCTCTCCTGCAGTGGCCCCCTTGCCACCTGACGTCTCAGGCTAGGGGTCCTGCTGGTCCCGAGGCCTCAGAAGGAAGGCAGAAGGAAGCTGCTCTCTGTTGCAGTCCAATGCACAGGCATTCTTTTCAGAGCCCTACTTCAATTTCTTACCCCCCTGAATCCATCATCCCCACCCCAAAAGGAGAGGCCCTTGATCTCACCATTTAGAAATCAGTGACTAGGTTCCGTTAGGCAAAATCCAGCCCTGAAATATTCCATCTGACCCCTGTCTGCATGGACCAACTTTTGAAGTAAGAGAAATATGGAGAGTGGAATTTGTGGCAATAGTTCTTGGAGACATGTCATTTTAAGGGGAAGGGGCTGGACCATGATCCTTCATATTCTAGCCCAGGGCTCCTGAACCTCCTTCCATCTGAGGGCAGAATTCAATTCTGGAGAAGCTCTGGGATGCTGCATTCCAATGGGGGATGGTCTGAAGACAAAAGGCCAAATTGGCAGCAAAGCTTCTATTACAACTCTTTGTGCCAGCAACCAGGACTTAGCGTGGCATTCCAAACTTTTAGAATGAGGGAAAAAACTAAACAGAAGCCTGGGAAACCAGTGGCTTGGAGAAAGGGAAGCAGAAGCATGTGGAAAACTGGAGGGCCACACTAGGACACCAGGAAGTCTAATTTCATCCTCCAGGCATGAAGCTCTGTATTCTACTCTACCTTCAAAATGGCCTTCAGGGAGAACTAGTTGCCAACCAGAGCTGTGACTTATTCGCCACACTGCAATCCCTGCGCTACATACCAGGTTTTTGGTCTGCTGCTGAGTACAAGCTTTAAAAGCTACTGTAGGGAATTCATTCCTCAAGTACTTCAGCCACTTTGCCACGATCTCCTTAGGCACCAGATCTGGATTGGGGCAGAACAGCAGAATCAAGGACAATTCCTAGTACAACCCTGAATAAAAAAAAATGCTCAAAAAGCTTCATGAGGGGCCAACATGCGTTCTTTGCATCTGAGGGCACACTGGACAAGTCAAGCTTCCAAAGAGTTGTGTGTGTGCCTTAACACTGTGATCTACTAAGTTTATCCAGCGGTGGCAGACTGGAAAGATGAGCTAAACCACCCCTTCCTTTCACACCCAAGATGAACCTCAGAATAACATCCTGCTAGTTCCATAATCACAATGCCACTGTGGACTAGCATTCCAGTTTCACTCAGAATCCTCTATTGAACACTAGAGCGAGCTGAGGGGAAGTGGGAATGGAATCCGCTTTGCTACCACAATTTAACCACCCTAACTGCAAGTGTGAATGAAGAAACAATGAAAGCAAGTACATCCTGTGCATGTATGTCAGGAAAAACTGGCAGAAACCAGCACATGGATGCTGGTCAAAATGGTATGGCAGCTGGTATTCTGAGGATCTCAGTTTTCATTCTAATCTTTCTTGAAATGAGTTTCTAGCTTTCTTAAATAAACAAAACCTTTGAAAATAAACTGGCAATGAACTATGTGCAACTAAAATAAGAAGTGGGGGAAAATAAGCATGAGGATGCTAGCTCTGGCTTCCTCCACTGCTGTTCTCATCACCCTCTGTGTTCTGAAGGTAAACTTTTACAAGGTGGGGAAGATTTTCTACCTTTGTGGGCTGCCAATGCAATCTGGAACTTTGGAAGACCTCCCCAGTGCAGGAGTTTGTCCTCTGCACTCGAAGGGCAAGAGCAGCGGTACACAGAGTTGAAGGCAGCATGTTCACCTTCCCTCCTCCTAGCATGTCATTTATGTGTTCATGCAGAATATCTGAGCAAGACATATGTCTACCAGGAGACTAAGGAACAGCCTCTCTCACCCAAGCAATATTCAGAGTTTTACTGGATCAACTTGTGTTCTTCCAACCCCTCACTGAATGTCTCCCCCACCTGACCTCTGCCCACTTCAAAGCTTGGCAAGACATTGCAAAGTGAATTGAATGTAAGCGTCTTGGAATCAGAACAGAATTATGGGAAAACATGCCAATGTAATTCAACTGCTTATTATAAATACTTTTCCCGGCCTTTTCTTGTGCAAGATTTGGATTTGGGGAGAGAAACATAGTCTTTGAATACAGGAATCTACTATATTCTCTCACTTCACTAAGAGCCAGTGTGGTGCAGTGGTTAAGAGTGCAGGCCTGGGACTCAGGCGACCTGGATTCTAGTCGCCACTCAGCCATGGAGCTCACTGAGTGACTTTGGGCCAGTCATAAACTCTCAGCCCAACTAACCTCACAGGGCTGTTGTTCTGAGAATAAGACTGAGATGTGAAGAAGAACGATATGAGCTGCTTTGAGTTCCTTGGAAGGAAAAAAAGTGGAATGTAAGTATAATAAATACAATATTGGTAACACCTGTTGAATCCTTGTATATTATGAGGTGTTGAATCCTCTCTTATCTGAGGGCTGAATTCTGTTTCAGAAGCTCTCAGGGGCTTTATTCCTGTGGTGGGCTGGGCAAATGGGGGTGGGGGCAAAAATACAAGTGCATTGTAGTTTAAAGGGTACAATCCTGTGTGCCTTTAAGAAGAAAAGTTCTATAAGTCCTAGCATGCTGGGGGTTGTAGAATTTTTTCTCTCTCTAAGCATGCACAGGATTATTCCCTAAAATTCTTACTAAGCCTTAGGAGGGGCATTTGGATCTTTCAGAATATATAAAGCACAAAAACTGGAAAAGAACCCAATGAGTTCATTGTTGGTGAATTCAACACCGCCAGCCAAGGGAAGATGAGATTCATTGCATGCCAGCACCAGCTCTCACTTCCTCCCAGATTGCTGGCTGTCACTGTTACCTATTTTATTTAGCACCAGGACCAGCCTCTTGTTTGTTCCAGACTGCAGCACTGCCTGCTCAACTTGTGGGCATCGGCAACCTTGGGGATCCCTTGCATCCAGGACTTCCAGGATCACATCAGCTGCTTCAATCACCTATGGACAGAGATGACTCAGCAGCTGATCCAGCACTTGGCCCAGCCCCACCAGACAGAGGAGCATCCGTACATCCCATCCAGAGCAGGGCAGAAGAATGGAGCTTCCTCACTATGCAAGGCATGAGGCCTGCCCACATCCGCACTTACCTTCCTGAACTCCCTGTAATAGGCCTTGCAAGAGCTGTCTTTCTCTAGCAGGTCATGTTTTGCCAACTGCTTCAGATCCATTTCCTGTGGAGGGCAGGAGGGCAAGTTGGTCTATATAGCATACATGTATCATGAATGAAAAATAAATCCCACTAAGGTAGGAAGGATAGGATTGGTCTCCCCAGTGGGAAGTGGAGCAATCCAGCTGTGGTTAATGGTACAAGTCACCCAGCAAAAGAGTTACTACAGTCTTGGCCTGGGGGCTTCTGGCTGTTACCGTAAGAAAATATTTTGCTGATTGGGTCTGCAATTCTGTACACAAGAGAAAGGAAATGTGTGGCCCCTGAGATGTGGCTGGCCTGCACTACCCATCATCCTTCACCAGTAGCTATGCTGGGTAGGGCTGATCGGGACTGCAGTCCAACCGCTTTTGGAGGGCCCCACAAATCCCATAGATGCTACACACACAGTCAGGAACAGTTGGCACAATGTATCCAACTCTGACAGCTGCAGATCTTAAAAAAGCTTCATCACATTAAGCTAAGGGCTCTTCCCACCTTTGCAAGCCCAGGTCCATTCGCTAGCATGCTATAAATGACTGCATGAGCCCAACAGGCAAAATGTAATACACATGTTAAGATGACCCCAGCAATAGTTTAATTACCTTCTGTTCAAAACGCTGTTGCCTACGTAAGGCATCCTTCTGGAGTCCTTCCAGGCTCCGGAACCGACCAATTTCCTTCTGCCGAGCAATGCGTTGCCGTTCCTGTAGTTCTGCAACCTGGTCGAGAGGTGCAGGCTCTTAATGTACAGCTGGGTGCCACCAACCTTGCTGGAAAAATGCCCTTTTCTGGTTCTCCAAAACCAGCTTTTGGCATCCCAAGCAGCAGAGAAATGTCTCCCCAAAGCCAACCCTGCATCCATTTTCCCCAAGCAGCTTTTCTCCTTTCTTAGCCTCACCCTTTTCTGCTTTAGTGCTGCTTCTGTCTTGACCAGCTCTTTAAAATGTGACAGCTGAGGCACTCCTGGGTCCTTTTTCCCATGTGGTTTTGCTTCCCTCTTCTGCAAGAGCCAAAGGAGACACCACACTTACATGCAGTGAATCAAACCTGGCATCAGACGTAAAGCTACAGACCAGTAGTGATCAAAGGTTGCATGTGCTGGAGTGGGCCGAGGACTACACACATGCACAGCCTTTGCCCCCCACACACTTTCTCCACGCATGCACTTGACTCTTACGATACTTTATACCTACGCTCTATCTTACCCCACAGGTGTGCAAAGGTGTAGACCAAAGGCAGAGAGCTCATAGTGCTGAACTGCAAGTCCTATCACCCCTGGTCAGGCAGATGGGTACCACAATGCTAAAAAAAAGCTGAAGGTTGCATGTTCCTTTGAAAATGGAACCTGCCAGTGATGTCCAGCATCTTTCTAGCTTTCAAGGACTTTCCCTGCTGTAGTGGAGGAGACCCCTCCCCACCTCCTATAGAAAGAGATTGTGGTCCCTCAGCCTGCCAAGCAGCTGTCTGATGGGCCAGGAGGCACATGATCAATATGGGAAGGAAAGGAATGCTGCTCCTCACATCCTTTCTTCCTGTTGGTACTGCAGTATTTGGGTGGCAAGGGAAACATGGGCACCCATGTGCACCACCCATGTTAATGCATTCCAATTATGCCATCCCTTTCAGCCCAAGAGCCAGAGTCAGTTTTGGAAAAGCTCTGGTGTGTGTGTATTGGTGGGGGGGGTCCAATGACTGACTTGGCCAAGTGAAAAGGAGGGAGGGCAATTCCTCCCCCCCCCCAACATAATGTAATTTGAAGCTCTTACTGCCAATAACTGAGGCTTTGAGAGGCATTTCACCATTTTAGAATGGAGGAGGACTGCATAAAGCTGGGAAACCACCCAATGATTGATAGTTGGCGAAAGCAGCATGGACATCAGGGAACCAAGCTCAATCCAGACAAGACGGAGGTCCTGTTGGTTGGCGGATCGGGCTTCGGAGAGGGTGAATTGAACCTTGTCCTGAATGGGGTTGCACTCCCTCTTAGGGACAAGGTCCGCAGCTTGGGAGTGCTCCTCGACCCGGAGCTTTCACTGGAAGCTCAGGTAACAGCAGCGGCGAGGAGCGCTTTCCTCCAGCTTCGGCTGATTCATCAGCTGCGCCCCTACCTGGAGTACGACTGCCTCGCAACAGTGATACATGTGCTGGTGATTTCCTGTCTTGACTTCTGTAACGCGCTCTACGTGGGGCTACCCTTGAAGATGGTCCGGATACTTCAATTGGTTCAAAATAGAGCTGCCAGGCTGCTGACGGGGACTGGACGTTATGTTCACATGACTCCAGTTCTCTGTCAGCTTCACTGGCTTCCCATTGAAGTCCGGGCCCAATTCAAGGTGTTGGTGATGACCTATAAAGCCCTAAACGGCTTAGGTCCTGGTTACCTGAAGGAGTGCTTACATCCATATATGCCCAGCCACCCCCTGAGATTGGCAGGAGAGGCCCTTCTCCGGGAACCCTCCGTGAAAGAAATTAGGAGGGTGGGTACTCGGAGGAGGGCTTTCTCAGCGGTGGCGCCTAAGTTATGGAACGCGCTCCCCAGAGAGGTCCGCCTGGCACCGTCATTATTTGTTTTTCGGCGCCAGGCGAAGACCTTTTTATTTAAGCAGCATTTTAAATGTTAATATTATTGAAGTTTATCTGGCCAGGGCGGCTTATTTTATATTGTATGTATTTTATTTTAATGTTTATATTTTTAATTATAATTATTTAACTAATTGTTGTAAGCCGCCCCGAGGCTTCGGCGAATGGGGTGGCATAAAAATGTTTTAATAAAATAAAAAAATAAAAATAAAAAACCCCCAGAAGAGCCAGTTTTCACCCCTGGAACTGAGGTCCCCACACCTGCTCTACCAGCTGACCCTACAGTTGATGGCTCCATTTGTTTTGTCCTCAGAGATCAGATCAGCACAATTTCCTCCCAAATCCCAACCTGCTCTGACTTCCTCTGCAAAGTCGACATATACTCTTAATGCTTCCCTATTTGCAAGCAGGACTTTGGAGTCTAACTTGTTTACAAATTGTACTCTCTTGCCTCTACCTCTTCTTCTGACACATCACTATCTGACCTGCTAAAACTGACCTGCAAAATCCAAAGTTCTCTACTCATACTTTTCAATCTCTCTGTTGCCATCAATGCCATATTCTACTTATCTCCCTCCATGCCTTCAGCGATCTCATTTTTCCAAAAATAGCCCCTGCTCACCTTGCCATGTTTGAGTCTCTTCCCAGATTTTTTCTGCTCTGCCAAAGGGAAGGGAGGAGGGAAAACAGAGTTAAGGTGAATGCCAGGTTACATATGGAAGCCCAACATGATTGGAACCAGCATTTGGCAGTAAACCCAAACAGAAGACTTACTGTGCCGGGTCATGGTGTCAAGAGCAGGGCGAGAAGCTGGGGTGCCCAACACTAGATTCAGTGACTGCTAGAGACACTTTTAAATGACTCCCTTTTCTCAATACAAAGCCTAGAAAAGAAAGAAATGGGGCTGGCAAAGATATCAGTGCTGGGGTGAGGGCAAAGGACCCCCATATGTTATTCTTACTGAAGAAGTGGAGATAGCAAAATATTGCTGAAAGTGGCCTTTTCCAACTTGGTGGCCTCCAGATGTTTTGGACCACAGCTCCCAGCATTCCTGATCATGGCTGAGATTGATAGACGTTATAGTCCAACCCAACTGCAGAGCCCCAAGCTGGGAAAGGCTAGTATACAATGGACAGAACACACACTTCTTTGATCCCTGAGGAAACCATGATAAGAACCTACTTTTAAGGGTTCAAATAACCACACAGGGCAAGGGATGGCGTGGAAAACCTTGTCTCCCAGGAAGGGTTTTCAGGGGCACCTGGTAAAAGCAGTGGCAGGCAATTACCCTCACACTCGCACACCTCGAATTATACCATTTCAATCTGCCACGGAGACTACATGTTTGAATGACTCCTCATCCAGGAATATCAGACAGAAGGAGTCTCTTCCGTTTTCTCCATTAAATTTATTTTTCATATGCTTTCCTCCCGCTAAGGCAAATGTCAGACGTGGAACTCCCCAGCTCGAGGCAAAGCTAATCCCCTTGATTCTGCTAATTGTGTCAGACTAGCCTTGACAAACCACCCCGGTGGCATTCGATCGCCTGTTCTTGGCACTGTCGCCTCTGCGCTCCGCTCTCGAGCCCTCTTACCCGGTTCAGGAGTTCCACTTCCAGGGCAGAGGCAGCTTTCAGCGTTTGCAACACACGCGGCTTCCTGCGTGTGACACGTGGGCTCGCTGCGCGTGCCCCAAGAGGGCAGGGCTGCGTGAGAGAGCGCGCGCGCACCCTCCCGCAGCGTTGCGCTCGCTTGCCCGCTCGAGCGCCGCCCTTTGTTGCTGAGCTTGCACGAATGTGGGTTTGGTTCTACAGGGACCCGAGACAAAGCAGACAGGGGTGAAGGCGGGGGCCAGGGAGGAAAAAAATGTGCATAACGGGGACTGTGAGAGATTTTGAGTTATGCATTTGCCTATGTAATTGCACAGAATTAAAAATCACTCGTTTTCAAATGTACGAAGCACTGCCAAGGGTTTGCCCAATTTGCAGGCTTTAAATACACACGCACGTACACACCCAGGAAAAATGGCTTGGTTTGCAAAACCGAATGCTAGGATGTTTTACCCAGCACTCAGACATGGTGGGACTTGGAATGTAGAAGCAATTCAACCAAGATAGTAACCACCCACGTTACAAATCGGCAAGACGTCCGGTTTACTTCAACCAGAGAAAACTACTTTAAAAATCGGCTGGCAGTCTGCAAGCCAGAATAGATCACACATTGCATTTATAGAAAGCTTTCTGATCTACTTCGGACCAGCCACAGTGCTTGTTCTATGGGATAGGGGTTTTGCCTAAAATAGTTGTAGAAGATTAATTTTGTTCACGGACAGGCAAAGGGGAATACCCATGAGCACAGAAACCAAGAAAAAACCGAGGCAAAAATAAAGAGTTTTCCTTCACATGACAGAAGTAGAAAAGGGGGAACACCACAGCTCAACCCGCTGTAAATCTTCGGGCTGAATATATTATGTCCGGAGAGCTCTGCTGGCCTGAATAAAGAAAACTGCTCAGTCCTGTTTTGCAGTCAATCACATGAGCAAAGGCAAAGAGATAATATTCGATACTTCCGTAAGGGCAGCTGAAGTAGTAAGTGCACAGTTTCTGTACTGTAAGGTTGCTAACTCTTTCTGGCAGGCGCCTTCTGCCCTTAAAGTACAGTAAGTCCTCTGTCACAAAGCTTTTAGAGCACTTTTGAGAACCGGTGCTTCCAGGCTTTTCCTGTGCAATCACATTGCCTCAGTTATACACGAAGTCCAAACAGGCTACCTGCTATTTGCATCCTTCCCGTGTTTTCACGCTATTTGCACTTTTTTTCTTACCAAAAACTGTTAGGGGGATTTTTTTTTTTTTTTTGGATGTATGAAATAGTTGCATAGCACCTTTTGAGAGTTAGCTGTACAAGAGTTTTCCATCTAGAGCCCTTTAGGGTGCAATGCTATGCATTTTGCTGGGTAAAAGGTTTACAATACCAGCTAGTTGCAGACAGCCACACTAACCAGAGTACACTGGGCACTGTAAACTTTTTTCTGTCTAACCATTCGTAGGATTGCACTGATTTGTGCAAAACCATACGGATAGAGCAGGGCGGGACGTGGAAGTTGGCCATCTCCCCTTCCCATCCCTATCATTTGGTAGCTTCCTGGCTTTTTGGACAAGATTAAAAGGCTGATATGTCTCTTCTCAGGCTGTTATTTTGGCCCCACCCCCAAGAGGTTCTGTGAAATTGTGGTAGAATTGTGGTAGACGTTGTTTAATTAGACTTCCCGAAGGATTTTGACAAAATCCCTTACCCAGTGCTTTTTTTGTAAGAAAAAAGGTGCTGCAACTCATGAAATTATTTACCTTTCACACTTAGTCAATCACTGTACACACACACACATCAGTTGTGTAACGAAACATAGCAGTCGCCGCAGTAAGCACTCAGCACGCCACCACACAACCAATCACAAGCCAAGCAGTGCCACAAGCCAAGCAGCACCACCAACTTGCTACACTCGACAGGGTGATTCAAATCCACATGGACCAAACATCAAATTTTCAAAAGTTACTATTAAAACTTGGAAAATCTGTTGAAAAAAGGTGCCAGAACTCCATTCTGGTGCGTTCTATGACAAAAAAGGCACTGGCCTTACCTAAGGACTCCTGAGCGAATTTAGCAGTCACGGGATGGGCCCTCGTGTGGATTGTGAGGGATGAGCAGAGCAATCTAATTCGTAAGGTCTGTACCTTACTATGTTAAGCGCTGGGAGATTACATATGTTGTAAATTTGCACTATACAAGTAAAATTGAATTGAATTTATTGCTTTTCATGTAATGTTAATGTTTTTGTGAATATTCATTAAATAGTGTTGTTCTGTGCTCCACATTTTTATTGTATCATTGTAATGTTTCATTTACTGTTTTTATAGAGATATATATTGAGCAGAGCTGTAAGTGTATTGGTCCGGCCCTTAACTACTGTCAAAGTTTCTCATGTGGCCCCATAGGAAAATTAATCGCCCACCCCTGGTCTACAGGGTTGTGCAATGTTTGGATTTCTGGATCCAAAGCAGGAAGAACAGCTCTGACCTCGGAGCTGGCATCTGGGCTCAGATCCCACTGACCGCTGCTTTGCAGTCAGTGCAGAAAGAACTGCGGAGGCTGCATCGCTGAGAATGTAAGAGCATCCCAGGGGAAGGCTAAAAGTGCACATTCCAGGGAGTGGGATAAGATTGGGACCGCTTGGCCACGGTGTATCCTGGTGCCACCTCATGGCTAGGATGTCTGTAATTCTCCAGCTTCAGAGGCAACTGGACCTTCCCATTGGATTGTGCTAAGGGCAAAAAGCAGAGTGAAAATAAATAATCAGTTCTTACAATGGAATTATGTAAACAGTGAGGTCTCCGAAGCAACAGCACTGAGACTGATGTTTCTTAACCTGTTTGTAGATGATCTGGCGTTAGAAGCAAGCAGCAAGGTGGACAAATTTGCTGACAACACCAAATCATTCAGGGAAGTTATTTTTAAAAAGGAGGTGATGAGAGAGCCCAGAAAAGATCTCCCAAGCCTGGGGAAATGGACATCAAAATGGCAAGAAACATAGAAACAGAGCGAGTCAGAAGGGGTCTCCCAGGCCATCTAGTCTGACCTCTGGCACCAGCCAGCTCCGCTCACGACATTCCCACCGTGTGCATGTCCAGCCTATCGTTGAACACTTGCACCGATGGGGCCTCAGCAACCTCTCGTGGAAGCCCATTCCACACCCTCGGGGTCCTGACTGTCAGGAAGTGCTTCCTGGCATCCAAATGGAACCTTGGCTCCCTGAGCTTTGCTCCATTCGAGCGCGTCCTGCCTTCCTCTGCAGGGGAGAACAGGTCTCTACCCATCTCCATGTGACATCTATGAACAGTTCTATGTAAGCAGGTGATGCATATGGGGCAGTTATATCGGTGGAGTCTGAGCTGGTAGTGACTGAGCAGGAAAGGGATCCATTAAGGACACAAAGCAGTCCTGCCAGAAGGGAAATGTTGGCAACCCCTATTCAGATAATCATATGCCCCAGCTTTAGTTAAGGCTTTAACTAAATTGTTCAAGTTAAGTGAAATCATGCTTAAATAGCTTGAATTTTCTTTGGTATTGCTTTTGTCCCAACCATCCCTTTTAACTGCTTTCAGAAAAAAAGGGCATTATGAAAGCCACCCAAGAGATTTTTTTTAAAAACAGTCATGTATAACCCTGGGATTCTGACTCCTGGCTGAAAACTGCCAAATGCAATTTTGCAAACAGGAGATCTTCCCCACCATCTATCTCTGTGGAGCCCAGCTGGTCCATTTGTCTTGCAGTGAGTGGTCATCATGTACTACTGGGGAATCCCACTGATGTGTCAGTAACAGCAGCTTTACCTAACTGTGGAAGCAACATTCATCATTCTAGAGGGGAAATACTTGCTTCTCTGTGCTGAATGAGTGGGAATGAGTTGGCTGGCTGGTTCTCTCAGGGTTGCAGTTCTGCTCTAATTCTCTTCCACCAAGGAGAGGAAGTTATATAAATGGAAGTCCGGGTGCCTGGAAATCCTGGCAGTTTACAGTCCTGAATCGCCAAGCAAGAGATTCTAGCAAATGCCAGAGGGAGGTCAGCAAGTGTCCAGGCCAGGCAGCACCACTGTTCATACTTCACTGGCCTTTTCCAACCTGGTGCCTTCCAGATGTGGTAGAGCACAGCCTAATCATCCCCAGCTGTCTGGGGTTGAGGGAGTTGTCATCCAACACACCTGGAGGGCAGCAGGTTGGGGAAGGCTGCCCTAGGCTTGTTTTACTCTGATTTCTGCAGGAACCTAGCACAATGTGAGAAAGACACATCTCCTTCCTCATATGCCAAGGGTGAGGGGCAGGATGTCCTTACATTGTGCTGAGTTCACGGGGAAGCTGAAGGAATACAAAAGCCTTGGGCTGCTTGAAATATTCTCCTCCCTGCTCAAAAAAGAAAAGAAAAGAAAAGAAATCCACAATTATCCACAGTGAGTGAAGGAGCACAGAGGGTATGTGTGTAATGCATACACATGTGTGTAATGCTGGCTCCCTGTTGTGGGGTGGGGAAGGACAAAAGACTGGATGAAGATTGGGGTAATAAGGAGTGGGGCTGATCAGATTGTGGTATAATTCCTCACCAATCAAGGGTGAGCATTAATGAGTCTTACCTGAGGACCTCTAAAATCTTGGAAGTTGGCCCTGCTTTCATATGTGCTGGAGTTCAGAAACAGTTAATAGACTTCTTTCAGGGAAATCAAGAGGATTGAGTTTACTTAGCAGTGCATTGGTTTATCTGAGCAGTGTATTGGTTGTCAATGTGTAAAAATTATTCTGGGACCTGAACCTAGGTTCCATTCACCAAGATTTCAAATCCAGATAATGTGACTCTGCTTGCTGCATGGGGCTGAGAGCATGTGCTGTGCCCTCTGGAATCCAAAAATGTCTATGTAAGGATATGACTCAGAATAATTTGAGGGGAAAAATAGAACATGAAAGAATCATCAGGCTGCCAATTGTAAGGCGCAGATTAACTGCCAAGAGTGCATTTATGTGTAGGCTTATAGATG